CGCCTGCCGGAGAAGAGAGAGAGAGAGATCCCGGTAGGAGAGTTCGGCGACAATACCTGGACACTTACCGGTCGAGAGAGTACAGAGCATCTCCTGGACGCCCTACTAGAGTTAGTTTTCTAGACGCCCGTTCGATATGGAGAGTTCGGCGATAATACCTGGGCGCCTATCGAATGGGAGAAGTATAAACATGCTGGCGCTCACCGCAGAATGTCTTGTACAAATTAATAAAAGAGAAAACTGTATCTTACACCTTGTAACCTCACCTAATCCAATAAATCCTATCTATTCAACAGATTTCCTTGGGTTTTCACTTAAACATGGCTACAATATGAAATACAAGATTGAATTTAAATTGTAGCTCTCTTCATGGTTTGCCGTTCGACGATTATTACGAAATCTGCATTTTTCGATATTATTTCGCGTTTTTTATTTTTTACATTTAAGATTTATAACGGAAAAATCAGAAAAATGTGGTAAAAACCAATAATTCGAATTTACCCTGTAACTACCCTTCCGGTTGAAATACAGGGTTGAAACTTGTACAATGGTTTCTTTCGGTAAGTTATTAGAAGGTGTATGTATTGCCAGGTAAAATCGGTTCAAGGTCACTTTTGACAATTTTATCCTTCTATGTCGTTTAAATTGATGCTCTTTCAGCAATTTGCCGTTCGAGGATTAATAATTCAACACACCAGTGGTTAAAGGTGTCATATAATACTTTCTTAAAATAAATTATTCTACGTAATAATATTTATAAAATAACACTATCTCAATCTATGAGACAATGCTTTTCTGTTTTTAATCTGTTCTATTACTATAACTTCGGATTTTCAAAAAATAAAGATACCTTTTATCTTTTGGAAATTCAAAGAATATTCAATTTTCTTTTTTTTATTTTGAAAGAGAAAACGTACTTCTGTTATTATTACCGTGAATAACAATATAATTTAATACTCATCTAATCATTATCTGTTAATTGACGAAATAGAATATGTATCCGAGTTCCAATTGAAAATCTTTAAATCAACTTTGCTCTAAACAATTAACCTGTCACATGACATCTTCATTCACTCCATTACAAATGACTGAACAATCTATTTCTCTCCTTTTAGCACATCGGTGTCAATATGTTTTTCTCAGTCAGTACTGTAAAGTTTACAAAAAAGAAGGGAAAACACGAAGAATGTGCAAGTTCGCTGCAATCATATGCCAGTGTTGTAACTTTTATTTATGCTACTGCAATATTATGATCTCGATTAGTAAGTCGGATTATCTTTCAAGTTATCACCTACTTTGAAAAAATCGAAATGAAGTGTGCTAAAATTTATTTTATCTGACAATTAGATATATGTATAATACATATGTTTGTGAGATATACAAAAAAAGTAAGCTGACAAAAAAGTTTGTTTTTCAGGGTAATTTTTTTTATCATTTGTTTATTTGCGATAGTCTTACAAGCATAAAATTATAATATGATCTATAATAAACAACAGACTTATATTTCTAGTTGAGCATAAGATACTATATTGGTCCATTGAATTGAACTTCTCTACATCTTCACCCTATATACTTAATCTTTGGTTTTAATCGTATTCTTCTAAATTTATTAATGGGAAATGTAAAATTTCCCATTGGCGTACTTTTGAATGTACTCCTCCTCAAATTGAATATACATGGCCACAATCATTAATAGATACAATGATCACTCAGAAATACGTTTTTTTCTCATTTTTAGTTTATTTACACATTTCCAATAGCTTTTTACAAATTCACAAAACAATCACAAACAAATTTATTGAAATTTGGACAGAACAATGTCTGTCGGGTCAACTCTATATAAAAATTCGACGCTGTGCTCGACGACGAACTAATTGGGAACCAATAATGTCCAGCCAAACATGTCAACCTGCTACTTGTACCGTTTCAAAAATTTTAATTTTTGCAGTTTGTCCGAATTTTCCGACTTTCCTTTGTAATTGTCTCGAATTTTTTTGCTTGAAAACTTTTCCAGGACCATAATGAACAAAACAAACAAAGAATTACACATATCCATCGTTCGAATCGTAAGTTATGGTCTTTAGCTCATACAAAAATCCCATAGAAAAAAGCACTTTCATTTTTTCCCGAATTTTTCATTTTTCCGGGCAACTTTTCCAATTTTTCTTTCCCTAAAAACCTTATTCGGACTATTACGAAGATTTTTTTTTTTAAATTACCCAAATCGGTCCAGCCGTTCTCAAGTGATGCGCTTACCATCTTTGGTTTTAATCGTATTCTTCTAAATAAATGGCTGGAAAGCATTTTCATGTCATGAAAAACAAAGGAGATATTTAGGTGACCCCCTTTACCTGAGACGCTCCGTAGATCGTAGCTTTAGTTTCCGGTTGAAGGGCGTACTGTTTCCGGTACTAACAATATAAATGATGATATAAAAGTAAGTGATCTTTTTTAGTTAAATATTTGAGGTCTAATTGAGTGGAAAAGCATTTTTAATAGTTAAAGGATTATTAAATACGCACTACATTCGCAATGAAACCACGTTTCCGGGAAAGTGTCGCGTGCGATTACGCACGCGATCGCGACGTTTAATTATCTGTTGCCTACCGCTCGAAACAAACGATGAGAATACGTCGAAATCCCGACGAGAAAGTCTCGATTCCATGATGTCACTAGAAAGAGCATTCGAGAGTTTAGTTCAAACTCTCGGAATGAACCGGATAACGGAAGAAACAGGAGAGAAACGTTTATTGAAATTCAAAATTAAACGAAACGTATCAAGCAAATTATTACGCTAGCTTGTAATACAGTATTAACCCACAAAAATTCGAAAATTGATTCTTTAATATAATTCTTTTCTTAAGCCCACAAAAAACATTTTTCTATACATTTTCATTCAAGGTGATTGCATTTTAATTGAAAACAGTTTAAAAAAAATTGAGAAAAATTAAAAAATTATATTTTTTTCATTTTATATTAAAAAATTGTATTTTGCATTTTATATTATAAAAGTGTATTTTAAGTCCCACAACATTTTTTAATGCGCTATTTTTTATACGTGTCATGTGTAAAACAGCATACAATAAGTAATTGTTCAATAAGATAGATTGCCATAACATTTTGTTCAAAATAGATATAGGTACATATAATGTATTGTTAATCTAAAGAATTCATCATAATAATTAATAAATAAGTATATCAACATAATAAACAACATTTCCTCAATTCCAAATTAAACGTTGTTATACAAATAAATAAAATTGTTCTAAACTTCAGAAGCGTTTTATGCAAAATTAAATAAAATTAGAACTCTCTCCATGGTCCGCCGTCCGAGGGTCAATAGAATCTTTTACAAAAATCTTCATGAGAAAAACACATGTGAACATAAAAATATAAAAAGAGATATTACAATTAGAACATCATAAATATTTAATTTCAATGTGGAAATGGATATTTGGATAGCTGATTATTAACCCAAGGATTAATTCTAAACTGTGCAATTAGAGTAGCGTGTAAATCAAGGGTTAGGTACGTCTATGTTTAAAAAATACTTATTTCTGTAATTGCATGGCAACGTACCCGTGGCACTAATGCACACGCGTGCACGCTACGCATCAGAGCAGAGGAGCCTCCTGTTGGTCACAATTCCTTACTTTCTAAAGTCCCCTCTGTGGATTCCCCGAATGAGTATACGTTACAATCGACTACGAGAAGCGGCGGGAATCACTTTTACTGATTTTTCACCACCGCTTGGCTGAATGTTATATCACAAGCCACGGGAGTGCGGGAGATGGCGGTCAGTGTCGTGAGATACCTCGTTCTTGTCTTCCTTGCTTTCCTGCAGTACCGTAAGTAACTTCTTACTTGCTACTTGTTTATATCAATTTGGTGTATTAAAATGTTATTTTTCGAAAGTTTTAATTTCATAAATCCGTTGCCTAGAATACGTGGACATTAACTGTTAATAAGCGAATTAATAAGTTAATACGTTTTCATTAACAAACTCTATCAAGAATTCAATGATAATGAATCAAAAATTAGTTAATTGTTGGGAAGTATTTTAAAGAAAAACGTGTACATTTAAGGTTTTATTTTAGAAAATGATATTTCATAAATTGTTTGCAAGTGTTTTCGTTGAAATTTTCTCACTGTGCTTCTTAAATTGACTTCTGGATTGCCTATCGTTTAAGAAAAAACGTTCTGTGTGTTTTTATGATTAAATTATCATATCCTTATGACTTTTCATAAACACTGTAGTTTACTTCTTCAGGGCTAATCTAAATCTGACGAATTTTAAAACAATTGTTGTTTATAAAACTGAATACATTAACTGTTACAGTGAAAATGGTCATGTGTAGTTATTTCATTTCTTAAATTAAGCTCTCCGTTTTCTACCTTGTTAAATAATATAATTTTAATTTATTTTAATATAACTTTTCCTTTTGTAATTGAAACACAAGTTAACTCGTGGTTGGAAGTCCACGTGTTAATGTGATGCTTTACTACACAGTAGATACACTATCTACTGACGTTTAAGTGATGTTAATTAACATTTATTAGTTTAAATGTATTACGGATTAATATTATATTTGTTGTGTCTATTAACCTTGTTGGGATGCTTTAATGTTTCAATTTCTTCATGGTGTTTTCTTCATGGAAAAACTAAACTGTTTCGTTAATGATTGCGGTCCTGTTAACCCTTGGACAGCGGACCATGGAGAGAGTCCCAATTTCAAATCAATTTTATATTTCATATTTTTATAATTTCCTACATTTTTGTCACCTCTTTATTAAATTTAGTTTTCAAAACGTATAGTGGGTATTCTTACAACAGTACAATTTTTTAATATAATTTCACCTAACAAAATGACTAAAATTAATACCCATTTATAGTATTTTATTTTTATTTTCTCTGATTGTGGGTGATAAATTTATTGTACTCATTTTCACTAATTGTGCCAGAGGCTTCCTTTTATTCATAGAATAAATTTTAAATCAATTTTATATTTCATATTATTATCATTTTTTATATTTTGAACTGTTCCCAGTACTATAATTGACCCGCGCTTCGCTGTTCAAGAGATAATAAAACTCTAGTATTAATTTATTAATTCAACTTTTTCATTTTTACAAACAATCATTAAAGATTCATTGACCTGTGTATCAGTCAAGAGAAACATTAATATGGATATATTGATCTGTAATTTTCAATGCAAATTGGTAAGCATGCAATTAAGTGCCATGAGGTAACAAGAATCAAAGGTCGTTTTCGAGAGCAAATCATGTCCATCTTTAATTCAATTCTTGCAAAACTGCTACCTCATTTATCTGTACACTTTAACGCAGGAATCTGTTCATCGATAGACGAGTAAGATAAACTAGATCAGTACTGTATAACGAGTCTTACGACCTTCACCTGTTTTCCCAACTTCTCACAACGGTCCAATAGTTTTCTCTACAAAAAACACAGATACTGTTCACCCAATTTTAATTTCTTGCTTTTTATAGATTTTTGTATATACAATTCAAATCAGTAACTCGGTTTTTTCTATAAACTAGTTTTCAAAATAATTTCAACTTGTATACAATTTGAAAATAGCATAATATGTATACAATATGTAAGTTTCAAAATTTCATTGCAATTTTATTTTGTATTTTATAAAAAAATATTAGTTATATGTCCATAGCAAACACGGGAAACATCATTTTCCAAACGATATTTGGTAGCAAACGTGTTAATATTAAACATTTGCACTCTTTTTTTAAATGAAATTTGTCAATAATTGTAAAATAAAATTATTCAACGTACAAAAATTTATGAAAAAACGCTCACCCAGGATCGGATTAAGATTTCTTGGATTGGGGGGGGGGGGGTATCAAACCTTCCAAAGCCTCCTTGATTGATAAGCTTAGTTCAAAAATCGAAATTTATTCTAACAATAATTTTATTTTTAAAGTAAATGTTTTATAAACAGTCGCTTTACTATTCCATTCGTTGAGTGGCCGTAGTGGACATATGGAAAAAGCTACATCAGATAATAAACAATTAGAAGTATTGACTATCAATCTGAAAATGAACCACATATGGCTATTATTACTTGTGGTCGAAAGCCTTTATGTTTGAAGCATTTCTTCGAAGAGTATCATTTTTGTCACAACTATGTTCCTTAAGTTATTCAAATTCCATGTAGCATATTAAAATTATCAATTTCATACATCCACCCTGGAGTATGTATAGCTTTAATTACTTTATATCATGCGATACAAATTTAACAAAATTAACCATTGTATGTTATAAAAATAGTTGTTTTCCACTTATGCGGATAAATAACATCGGTGTATAACGTCAGATACGATTAAAGTATCACGCGCTGACTTAGCGGGCGTACGCGCGAGTCATAAATAATAAAAATCTGCGGAACTGTAGGAGGGAATTTCATAAACATATATATCAATGGATTTGGAATAAAATGCTCTACATTTTTTGTCATTACATAAATTTAAATAAGTTGTAAAATAATGTTATAAACATTTTTTTTGTTATAAACAAATGGTATTTTCGACAATCTGTTAACGCCATATTATTGTATATAAAAAACCATTAAATCCGCCCATTAGAAGTTTTCACGTATCTTCTTTGGTTTTCGAGATAGCAGTTTCAGGTCGAAACTTTGAGGGGTGGTTTCACCCTTTAAAGTCGCGTCTCAGCCGATATAAAAAAATACGTGTCCCTTATTTTTACCTGCTTAACAAATGTACGAAGTTTCATCAAAATCGGAGGGGGACACTTCGCGGCCTTTCCTTAAACTTTAGTAAAACTAAAGTTGACTACAAAATTTGGAATGTTTTAAAATAACTTCATAAAATAATGAAAAATCATTAAATTATCATCATCATGAATAATTATTAAATCATTATCATGAAAAAATCATTAAACTATCATTATGAAAAACAAGTATATCAACATCACTTAATGATGAAAAATTATTAAATCATCAAAACACCAGCACGAAAAATCAACAAATCATCGAATTATCATCACACACAACCATTAAATTATTATTATAAAAAATCATGATCCTGTAACGATGCTTCATAAAAATTAATATAAAACAATTCATTTTTGTAACAGCAATTGGATAAAAAAATTCTGTTATAAAATTATAGTAAATTGCAAACTTTGGAATTTTCTGACATAGCAAATGGAAGGCTTAGAAGAGGACCCCTGAAAACTGGGGCCGAGGTTGGAGCCCTCCTTAATCCGACACTGCGCCTATCAAATCTTGTTGAAAAGTATTATTCACGATTTGAACGACAGGCAGTCAATTAGACATGAGAAGATAATTTACTAGGAGAATGAGCTTGTTTGAGTACACAATAATGTTTAATGTGATTTTAATGTTACAGATGATGTGAGTGCGGAAACGAAGACATTCAAGGATTTGTTCAACAGCACATCCTGCGCGAAACCACCCTATGTGTGCCCGCACCCACAAATTGAATTTTATTTGTACACAAGGTAAGCTTCTCTCTATAAACCTTTAACTACTTGCATAGGGTAATTACAATTTTAACAGACTGTTAATTGGTGACAAACAGCGTCGAATTAATGGAAGATTTAAGGGGGCTACAGCCCCGGGCCCCAATTTCCAGGGCCTCTCTTACAATCCTTCCATTTACATACTATGTCAAAAAATATTGAATGAAATGCTTTCTTACTGTTACCGTTTTTCTTTACGATTAAATTTCAATTTTTGAGTCAAGTTTATTAACCAATGAGTCTTCGAAGAGTCGATAGCTCCGAGCCCCAGAAATCTTAGACCTGGTTCTGGTAATATACATATATACTCGTATCTGTGCATTCATTTAAGTTAAACAATTGTTAATATACTAAAGTATGTATATCGTTATTAATATTTTTCATTGTGTTGGGCAATATTGAATTTTATTTAAATAAGTTATACGTTATTTTTTGTAAAATAGTCGGTTAATAATGTGTTAAAATTGTTGTGGTCATACCAGGTCGTCAAGGTTGTGTACTAGATCCTTGAAAAAGAAACCTTATGTCGTTTAGAAAAGATAACTCTTCATGGGCTAGCTGGATCGTTTACATCCGCAAGAAATTCCAATTTTTCCTGAACTTCCTTCTGAATATTTATTTTTTCCAATTGTGCAATCCTTTAAACATTTGACTCAAAGAACGATTATACAGTAGACTCTCGTTATATCGTTATGTGAGCGGTTTGACTTGCACACGGATGTTCAAGCATAGCAATACCACTTTCCCACCATCAAAGCCTACGAGAATGATACATTTTTATCTGTTTTTTCTCCCTCAACGATAAGTTTCGAAGCTTAAAATATTTTCCGCCCCTACAGCTCCGTCCGCGGCAATATAACGAGAGTATACTGTATATTAAAGTGGAGTCTTCAGTACCACAGAATACTTTCAGATTTTTTGAAAACCAGTAACGACCTATATTGCTCATGGATATTTTTTTTGTAAAAAATATGCTTGCCCACGGAAGATTAAACAAAAGTTTTAATTTTATCAATTTCGAGGTAATTATTTAGAAGTTTGCCCTCCTCACCGATTTTTGTGACCTTAAAATATGTTGTCAAGATCATCATTCTGAACAACTTTTCTCTATACATGTTACCGCCGCTCAGCCTTAGTTTCCGAGATATTTGCAAAAATCTTTAGTTAAACTTAGATTACGAGTACACTGTATTCCGGGAAAAATGGAGACTGAATGGTGATTGAAAGAGTGATTGAAGTGGTTTGAGGTTAGGGTTAGGGTTAGGGTTAGGGTTTTATTTTTGATTTTTTCGCGTTATAATTACTCTTTATTTCACCTTTTATATATTGTATACTTGTTATTCATTTTGTGTTTTGTCAGAAATCGGAAACATTTCAGCCATCATGTCGAAATATACCATTATACGTTCATTAACATCATATCCCACGTAATGAGATGTACGAGTACCATAATGAGAAATATTAGCTCTCGTATCACGCCATGTACACTCTAAACCCAAACCTAACCTAAACCTAACATAACCATAACCCTAACCCTAACCTCAAACCACTTCCATCACTCTTTTAATCACTATTTAGTCTCCATTTTCCCCGGAATATAGTGTACTCGTAATCTAAGTTTAACTAAAGATTTTTGCAAATATCTCGGAAACTAAGGCCGAGCGGCGGTAACATGTATAGGGAAAAATTGTTCAGAATGATAACCTTGACAACATATTTCAAGGTTACGAAAATTGGTGACGAGGGCAAACTTCTAAATAATTACCAATTTCGATGAACTAGATCAACTTATTTTCAAAAAGTATTATTTAAAATATTTTTGTTTAAATGAATAAAAAAAATCATATAATAATAGTCATTTTGCGCTAATTGTTATTTAAAAGAGTATAATATGAATAGTAAAAAAATAGTAGCACGAAAGGTTCGACATCTAGAAATATCAACTTTCTATCGCTATTGCTCTTATTTTGTCTCGTGTTTCCTGTCACATTAGGATTCGATATCACTCGACTGAGACGATATACAGTTTGAAAATCACTTTCTGACTGTTACTTTCTTGTTATCTCGGTGCAAATTGAAAAAGATTAACTTGTTAATCATCCAGGTACACTTAAGATCAAATAAACTGAGTGAACTTTATAATTCATATATTTTAGTATATCAATAACAAAGAAAGTAAATATCAAAATTTTTGGATTGTACTATAGTAATGAATTCTTCGCAGGATAATTTAAATACAGAATGAGATTAACCCTTGAACAGCAGAGCTTGGGTTAATTGTGATCCAAACTTACTAAATGTATCAGGAATAGTAATTTATGATAAATATATAATTCTTAAAAATATAAAAGCATAAAATATAAAAGTTTCATACATTTTTAAAGGAATATGAAACACAAAAGTACATTGAAATTGTGGCTCTCGTCTAAATCTACTTAATTAGACTTGATAACAATATCTCAAATTCTGTAATAATAATAAAAATTATCTATGTAATACGAAAATACTATATCAAATTATTCAGCAGAGTCAATTAATTCACTTGAATCAAAATACTAAAAAAAATTCAAAATTCTCTAATGATATCAAAAATTCAAATTTTCTAATAACATCAAAATTCGTCTGAATTGCTATGATAACAAAGTATCAAATTTTCAATACCGAATAGTTTAGTAGAATTAATATAAAATGGCAAAGATTTAAATTGTCTAGTGACATGAAATGAATCTACCAAATTATCTAATAACGTTAACATTCATAGGATTGATGGTAATAGGACTTTCGAAAAAGTTTCCCGTTTGTTTTTGCATCAGCATAATTCCATCCAGCATAGTTCCTCCGCTTTCCTTCGACGTTCGAGAAGGTTCACCCCGAGCTGGAGCGGTGTGTGCCGTTAAGGAAGAACCTCGACGTAAGACTCTCGATTTCAAGATCACGATTATTTCGTATGGTACTGAAAGTGGCCTCGTTTCGAGGCTCACCTTTCTCCGATAGCTATAGGTGCTTTGGCATGTCTTGAATACTTTTACTCGCTCGCCTCCTTATTCTTCATCAAGCTTGTTCTCTCTTCCTAGAAACGTTGCACGTTAAAACCAACATGAAACTGATTTTAATTTTTTTCTTTTACAAGCTGTTTTAACACTTTCCCTTTTATCCGGAATCGCGTTTCGGTTTCTTATATCGTTGTTCATTATATAATTTTACAATTATTTGTAAATAGTGCATTTAAATATACATATGTATGTATGTGTAAACATGTGATTACTATCATAAAAAAGCAAATTAAACATTTTATTATTAATATCAATGTAATTATTTATGTCATATTATCATTGTTATTTACTTTTTTTTATTTATATATTTGTTGTTCTTTTGAGAGATGAAGATACCGTTCGGAACAGAAAATCTTGTAGGTTATGCAATTGAAATACACAATGGTCGTATGTCAAGGTTAATTTAAGGTTACCTTTCTGAAAGTTCAAGGTCATATGTATGTACATATATACTCCTTTTTTCTTGAATGAAATTTTTTTTTTATTTGTATTGTAACATTTCTATAACACGTATATATATGAATTTCTATTTGTGAAAAATTTTGTATTCATACAGAGTTTGAAATTAATGTTCATTTCATAATATTACTTTTAAAGAGATTTTATGGTTTTCTAAATATTTTTAATAAGATCCTAAATTTTGAACATAATAAACCTAATAAACATAATGAAATATTGTTTACATTCAAAACCATTTTCTTGATTAATGGTAAAGATTCTATAATTTAAAAATGGTCAATTTTCTTTTGATTGTATGTTCGTGTTCAATGATTTTTCAGAGACACGCAAAAGAAACCATTTCGCTTAGACGTTCGAAGATTTGAGTCCCTTCACTATTCTAAATTCAACAAATCTCATCCTACGAAGATTATCATCCACGGTTTTGGAGGTGGAAGGAATTTAATACCTAGTCCAGATCTTCGAAGAGGTAAAATTTCTATAGAAAGAACTTTTTTATTAGAGTTTCAGTATACTGAACTAATTTTCTATAAATCTATAACAGTGGAATCACTATTTAAAAAAAGGTAAACTTGTGGAAAATTAATATTTTCGAAACGCAGAAACTTAAATTAAAAAGCAGCAAAGCTTTTGAAGTTTGAAGAATTTAACTATACAGAACTAATCCTTTAACTTTTGAACAACGGAGCCTGGCTCAATTGAGATCCAATCTTGCAAAACATATATAAGGATATTAATGGAACAAGAATAATTTTTAGAAGAACAGTATAAAAATTAGAAAATGAAAATAATATTAAATATCTACAAAATTAAATTAAAATTGGGTCTTTCTCCAGGGTCCGCGTCCGAGGGTTAAAGAGTTTGTCAAAAATTTGTAAAAATAAAATTATAGTATCAGTGTTCTTGAAAAGTATAAAATCAAATTAAAAAGAATAAATATTTTCAAAATTTAGAAAATTAAATTATGAAAACGTAGTTCTTCCAAATTCTTAAACAATTAAATGTTAGTTTAAAATGATTTAATGAAGTTAAAAATTTCAACGAGAAATCTATGTGAAAGCAACACAGAATGCTTTTCTATTTGTTACGTAGAAAGTCTGCTGGTAATAATAAACAACTTTGCAATTAACATCAGAAGTGTAATAAAAATTAAAGTAACGTCACATGTTCAGTACCTGAATTGTAGATATTTATGGATTAAACATATTAAAAAATGTAATGTATATAAAATATTTCCATATTCTTTTGCACGTAACAGAACAAAATGAAATATAAATTTATGAAAATACATATTTGTATAAATATTCGTAGTTTAGAAGTATTTTGAAAAAAGAAAACATTAAGGTTTTTACAATAAGATATTTTCTTTTAAATGCAGATATTATCAAAAAACAGTTTGCTTTAATTTTTAAAGTCAAATAAAATCTTTAAAACAAATAATATAAGTATTAAGTTATTACTGATGAAATCTCCAACTAATTTATAAAGCTTTCAACAGCTATTATTTTGGTAAAAATAATATTTATCATATCTACTAATTTATTCTTATTTATTTTAAAATCTGATAGAATCTAAATGTATTTTACTGAGCTCCTATTCCAGTTTTTTAAATCTATTTTACCTTCTAGGATGTATTTATTTTGTGTCTGTCTAATATCTGCATTTTATGAACTAGGAAACGCCATAGCTCTTTAATTAGTAATTCCAATTAGTAATCCTAGTAATCCCAATTAGTAATCCCAAATGAAGGGCACTAAATTGCGTTTTTTTTTTTATTTAACAATAATGACCATGTGAATTGTATGATATAACACCCGATCGCTCCCAGACATCTGAAGGTTCTTCCTTTTCCAGCATAAGAAGTCCTTTCAAATACTGCAACTAGGCCCTAGTTACTAGGGACTCAGCACCAAATTATAGGAAGGTCTACGGGGATTCAGCCTCAGACCTCACTTTGTACGGGGCTTCGTTATAACTCATGCATTTACTATGTCAAAAATGCTGAATTAAATTTTCTTTACTGTTGTCCTTTCTCTTTAACATTAAATGTCATTTAATTTTATTTAGAATAAATTTTAATTCTTGCACCAAGTTTAACCAAACGAGCCCTTGAAGGTTTGATAGCCCCGAGGCCCCAGAAATTTTAATCCGATCATGTAGGAGGTCAATTATTGCCTTTTCTATCAAGAAATTAAGAATCCGTTTTTCCTAATAAGTACCAGAACATTTTCGAAGATTAAAAAGACTTATCTGGAATAAACAAAAATGAAGAAAATTAGATTTAATATTATCATGATACTAATGAGGTATAACCAAATTTGTTGGCCCCCCTATTTCATAATTATGATTGCACCACTGACAAAGAAAGGCATGGAAGTGTCCCCCTCCGATTTTGATAAAACTTCGTTTATATCGACTGAAACGGATTTCATGGTTTTTTTATGTACAATAATGTAGTATTAACAGATTTCACATATTTCTACTTCTCGAAAGTTACATCAAAATCGGAGGGGGACACATTCATGCCTTTCCTTGGGAGTTTCTCATCTTCTAATCTCCTTTGGTGTAACTTCCTACCATTCTCAAAACTTTGACTATATGCATTGTTTTTTAACATTTCGGCTTCTCCTTAACATTCGAAGCCTCTATTTTGTTCAGTATTCAAAATTTATTTAAGGTAGTCCTACTTTGGACTATAATACTGATTTGTTATTTACTATAATTACCAACTAACTATTTTGCATTCAGAATATTAGTAGAACATTTGTATAATCATTTTTATCGAACTTTACATTTCAAATCGTGTCAGAGTTTTTGTTTCAGAATCAGCCATTTGACATGTAACAGCCTAATATTTATCACTCAATATTCAGTAATAAATTTTTATAGCCGGTTTAAATGTTCATATTAGTTCAATGGAAGACAGTAGCGTAACTAGAGGGGGTCAGAAGAATCAGCTGACTCTCTTCCTCGCATTCAGAAATTTAAATCCTTTTTTTCAATAAATACTAAAATATTTGCGAAAACTTTAAGAATAAACAAAAATGGAGAAAGTTAGACTTAATTATTTTTTAAACCCCTTTATTGGACAATTATAGTTGCACTACTGATGGAAGAAGTTTAAATAATTTAGTCACCAATGTTAGCACATTTATGTATAGACATTATCAAACTTTCGATTTCAGCGTATTTCACGCGAGGCAATTACAATATTATAATCGTCGATTACGGTTCGTTGGTACGCGAGCCCTGTCTGTCACAAATACAATGGGGTCCAGATTTCTGTTCGCGATGTATTGCTCAATTGGTAAGGTACTTGAGGGATCATCCTCGGGGAACGAAAGTGGAAAATATACACGTACTTGGGTACAGTGTAGGAGCACACATTGCTGGCCTGATTGCCAATTATTTGCCCGATGACAAACTTGGAAGAATTACAGGTAACCTATCTTATTCAATTACTTAATCATACTGGTTTAGATAACATGCAATTTCTGTTTCCCTTTCTATGTTAAGTTAATGATAAGATACACTAATGAATAACGACAATCTCTGTTGCAATTCTAATGCTTTACATAACGACTACCAGCAGCTGGTTATCATTAAGGGTCAACAGGAGTAATGACTAGAGATGGCGTGAACTGCTACTTATGAACCACTTGTGATTCCATCAAAGAGGAGGTACTACAGGGTGGCCCAAAAGGAGCTTCAGTTTTGATTTCAGCGCCATCTTTTAATTTTTACAGATATTAAAATCATTATTTGACAAACAAGTAGACCAAAGTTGGAAATTTTTTTTACACGTGTTTTTCAGTTTTAAAATGGCGACTGTAAAGATTACATACAGCCTCGAAGAACGTTTGTTTATCATCGCTTAGCGATCAATGATTTCTTTCTCTGGAGTTATGTCAAGGATAAAGTGTATGAATCACTGAAGTCATCCAGTTGAAAAATTGAGAAAAAGTCGATTTGTATTCACACGGGTTTTACTCTCTTTTTAATGGCCAGTAGAGATAATGTTGTCTTCGAATCGAATTGTTTGAAACAAGGCTCTGCCACTTAGTTAGTGGTTACTGAGGGAAAACACTTTGAAAATCTCATTCATTAAATTTTCAACTTTTCTGAATAAAATGCAATTTATTTGAATTGAATATCTCTTGTAGTTTTTTTATAATGAATTTTTCAAAACTAAAGCTCCTTTGTACTCGTTCGTGAACACTCGCGCAGTCCATACGTAGCTTTACGTTTAAATACATACTGTTTTTGCTCACAAGAAGTCTCGCGAGACAGCATAGGGGCAGGAGGGGATACTACGCACACATCGACTGACCCTCTAGTTTTACGCGAGCGTAATTAATGGATGTAACAGCTTCGACCAATCATCGCGCGTTTTGCTATTGAGCAACAGACAGCTGAGCAGATCCTGGATCAGTGTTCGAACAAAGAGGGATGTGAAAAGACAAGGATGCACATCTGTTTAGTCCCTTAAAACCATAAATGGGTCATTGACCTTAAGACTAGACAGATGTGCATCCTTGTCTTTTTGCGTATCTCTTTGGTTGGACGCTGACCCCGGACACTGGAGAATAGGCTACTTGTTCAGCTGTCAGCTGTTCGAAAGCGAAACACACGCTTCGGAAATTGATATTCCAATTTTCAATTGCTTACATCTCGAACACAAAGTCGTAGATTGTACCGATGTGGCGTCGCCGCGTTTGTTCATGACCACCGTTCGAACGTAACCAATAAACAACACTCTCGCGGTTCTGCTCGCATTCTACGCGCGCTCTGATTGGTCAGTGTTTTTCCGGTAATTATTGAGATTAGGTTATACCTCACCGATTTTGATGAAATTTAAATATGTTGTAAAATTCAACATTTTGAACAACTTTTTCCTATACATATAACCGCCGCTCGGCCTTAGTTTTCGAGATATTTTCGAAAAACTGCTACTACTACTACAGTGAATTCTACGTATACCTATGCATGTATGTACGGCGGCGTATGCGTTACCATCGGCCCGTCGTCGCTTACGTACTGTTTTCACAAACACATCGCGACGGTCGAAAAGCCGTAGATATAACGAGTGACCTTTTTAACACGGTATTGACGGTTTATATTTCTTTAATCTATAGATATATATTGCCTCCGAAAAAGTTCAAAATCTAAACGCATTGGCACCCCTTCCCCATAAATTATAACCTAACCTAACTTAATTATCCTATTTACATATTTACACAGTTGTGCATCCTCCATCAATAGAATAATTAGGTAAGATTAGGTTAGGTTATATTTTATGGGGCAGGCGTGAGGTCCCGCACACGCCTTTAAGAATTCAATGCCTGCTATTCGTCCCGAAAAATTTGTTCTACTGACTAACAAAGGGAACTACCCAAGTATTACACTCACTTATTAATGAAACTTTGCCAGCTTGTAGAGCTCGTCGAGCTGAACACGCCTATACCCCGTTTTGTGGGCAGACGACTAATTGTTTAAAGGATATTAATAATTAAAGTTAGTAACTATGACAGACTCACACATACAACTCACAATCTAGAGATCCACGATTCAAATCCTTGATTCCCAACATTTTTTTTTTTTTTTTTTAATGATAATTTGTCTCTTTTTGAATAACTATTACATAAAAATTATCATAAAAAATAAAAAATTTTTTTGTGAACCGAGGACCTTCAAATTGCAAGTCACGGATCTGCTCCGTAGTTAAACATATGAGTCGTAATCTAAAGGTCCTCGGTTCAAATCCTGGGTTACCGGCTTTTTTTTTTTTTTTTTTTTTTTTTTTATAATGATAATTTTCATGTAATAGTTATTCAAAAAGAGACAAATTATCATTAAACAAATAAATGTTGGGAACCAAGGATTCGAACCGTGGATCGTGGGTATAGGCGTGTTCAGCTTGACGAGCTCTACAAGCTGGCAAAGTTTCATTAATAAGTGAATGTAACACTTGGGTAGTTCTCCTTGTAAGTATGGTTTCGTAACCATTTATATAATTAATAATATAATTTCATAATCATTTGTTTTAAAACATTTACCCGTTATATCTATGGTTTTTCGGCTGCCGCAATATGTTTGTGAAAACAGTAGATAAGCGGCGGTCCGTTGCTGACGCATACGCCGCCGTAGATGCATAGGTATACGTAGAATTCATTGTAGTAGTAGCAGCAGTTTTTCGAAAATATCTCGAAAACTAAGGCCGGGCGGCAGTTATGTGTATAGGAAAAAGTTGTTCAAAATGTAGAGTTTTACAACATATTTAAATTTCATCAAAATCGGTGAGGTGTAACCTAATCTCAATAATTACCGTTTTTCCTTAATAACTCGAAAACGAAGCCTTAACCAACATTTTGAGAAAGGAAAAAATTGTTTAGAATGACCTCAGCAATCATCCCTCCATGGGATTTCCCCTAATTTTGGGGCACCCTGTATATTGGTTGTCGCCGTGCTATTGCCTGCAGAAACAGTAGCAAAGTGGCGATCCCATAGTGACGCGTACGTTGTCACGGACGAACACAAATAGGCGGAACTCAATGCAATAGTATCGACAGTCTTTCGAAAATATCTTGAAAAAAACTAAGACCGAGGGTAGTTATATAATTTTTGCAGAAGAACATCTTTTTTCATAATTTTTCCCAGAAAGCCCTCTGTATGTCGATTGGTATACTCTTCTTGAATATGAATATAATCATTAAGCGTTTTTTTCATAATTGTATTCAAAAAACAAATTTTTTACCGTTTTTCACTTCTACTCCGCTCGAAGTGCTATTGATACTCCTGTTGACCCTAGACTTTGGATTTTTTTATAAATGTACGGAGTAGACTGTAAATCGTGGTACAGTACTGAGCATGGAAAACTGTCCGAATGAAAATAGCGATGTAGAGAAAGGAGGCCCCATCAGTCGTTATAATACACGGGTGTTACTGTCTATTGCCTATGCCTGGTTTGCTAAATTAATTGTTTAAAAAGAACTAATTAAGTAAAAATTTGAGGAAAGGAAATGGAATCCGATGAAAAATTTTAATTTTTAAAATCGTAATTTTGAAAATATTAATATTATCATTAATTTAGATACTCGATAGTGTACTTATATTTCATAAATGCTTTTAACACTATTTGTAGTGTTAATTTCTTCCTTTCAAAGGTTATTTCAACAAATTATTGTAAACACGAAGTAAAACAATAGAATAGTCTGAACAGCGATTTTAAATTGAACCAATTATAAAACAATCAAGTGAGTTATAAAATAAGTAAAATACACAGGATAAAAAACAACATATAAAATGATTTGATATTTCATTACATGATTATTTAAATCTGTTTTGTCTATGTATACAACGAACAGGATTGGATCCTACTATATTCTTCTACATGAATGGAAACCGGTCGATGGATTTAGACGATACGGATGCTCATTTCGTCGACATTATCCACACGGGTGCCGGGATTTTGGGCCAATGGGGGCCTACAGGTCACGTGGATTTCTACGTGAACGGAGGCTCCAGTCAACCAGGATGCGCAACTACTTCCTTGCTTCGTAAGTACGATCTTCCAAATTATGTTTTTGTTCCTCCGAAAGAAATTCATATACATTGTTGGATTCCAAACGAGGAAAATTGCCAACACAGCTTTTGAAAGACAGGAGGTTTTATTTATATGGTTATTTTCTACACACCCCGGTAGTGACCACTAAATTCTGGCAGGTTCTTGATTTTATGGGATTTTGTGAGTAATTGTCAGGACAGTGGTCGAGAAAGAATGGTGTAAAGGAGGGATACGAAGGATAGGATAATTAAGGAACTAGGAACCGAGATTAGGATGTTTGGCTGAGGATGAATGTTTGTTGTGCTATGAGTAGTCGCGTTGGTCATCCAGTAGCATATCATGTAGTATGGCCTACCTGTCCAGCGTAGGGGCCGACGATAAATAGCGCGACAGACTGGTGTTTCCATAACAAAGAGTGATTTTTTTGCCGATACCACCTGTCACTCGAACGCTGTTTTCCTTTCACACGTACGCATCCACGCAGCCGTCTACCGTAAAGTGGACATGCGTGCCAGTGGCTAAGCAGCGAAGACAGTTGTATGGATGTGTACATGTGAAAAAGAAACGGCTTCAAGTAGCAGTTGGTATCGCCTTCGGTTTGCGTTGCGAGAGAATCACTACAACTGTATACCACTACCTAGAGCAGGGGTGACGAACTGGAGGCCCGTGCCCCTACTTGCTTGATCCACAGCGAGTTAGAAGAACGACAGCTTTTTTTTTCGCTGCCTCTTTCTCCTTCAGTCTGTTGATTTCTCTGCCAAGCACATTATATCTACTTTAAACAATAACAGTGGCCGCTCGTTCATAAGTGCTTTAAGGCCGCTGCCACTTCAGTGTAAAATAAAAGTTTTATAGTCATGACTTAATAAAAGGCAAAGGTATCTATTGAACGAACATGATTTATTATATTAGGATTAGAGGGAATTATAAGGATAAGGATTGACAAGGTTACAAAATTCATATTTTCTCTAACTAATTTAACAGTTCGCTTTACAATTATGTAATGGACAGCTCTGTACTCTCCTGTTCTATAGGCGTCCAGGTATTGTCACCGAACTCACTATATCGAATGGGCGTCCATGAGTTAACTATTTCTACTAGGTGTCCAGGAGGTGTCTCTCTCTCCTTTTTACCGGCAGGCGTACTCTCCTGCCGGAGTTTTTAAAGGGGTAGACACGGGTAATGCAGCGAGGTGACATTACCGGCAAAAATGGGCCTAAACAGGGGTTTACGGGAATACACTTTTCGTCCTTATATGACAAGATTCAGGGCTGGGTGAGGGCTCATTCGAAAGAGGAAGGTCCAATGCAGTACGGCCAACTCATGTTTCAGTGGAATTATGTTGATGTTTAGTAATATAAGCGTCCAAAGTAGAGGAAAAAATAGACAAAATGCACTCGCGGAATCGAAGCATTTTTCGGCCATTAAAAGAGTGCTGTGATTGAAATCATGAGTTGACCGTACTGCATTGGACCTTCCTCTTTCGAATGAGCCCTCACCCAGTCCCAAGTCTTCTCATATCAGCACGAATAACCGATTCCCGTAAACCCCTTAATAGGCCCATTTTTGCCGGTAATGTCACCTCGCTGCATTACCCGTGTCTACCCGTGTCTTCGCGACGTTTCTTTACAATTGCTATAGTTTTTATTTTATTAGTCTCACCATTAAATTTACAGAATATTTATTTAAAAACCTCTCTAACTAATCGCTTTTAGGTTTATTAATGACTAGCGATTACCCGCGACTTCGTTCGCATTCCACGCGTATAAATGAACATAAGTTTGTGTAATTTTGTGATTAATCGCCTCTCTCTTCGATTTTCACAATTAAAATCAGTATAATATGTATACATATGTGTAAATGCGTGAACTATTTACATAAACGGACTATAAAAAAGTTGCCTCATTAGCGCCTGATTTTTACAGTGTTTCTAAATTTAAGTGAGAACTCTGAATATTTCCAGAATAAAAAGAAGTCTAAATTATTATTCTATAAATTCTGAATCTGCCAATGAAAGTCTCGTCAAAATCGGTTCAGTTGTTTCGGAGCCCGTTTAAACAGATAGACAGACGGACAACAATTTTGCAAAAGCGAGTTTGGGTTTCAGCAAGGTGCAAAAATCACAGACAGACACTTCAATTTTATTTAAATGTATAGATATAATTTTTTCAAACCATATTGATCTCCTTTACTTTTATTGCTACAGTTTCATTACTATCAATTCTTCGAGCTGCTACTGAAAAATAATAATTTTCATTAGTAATAACAAATTTAAATTTAGAGAGGAATGATTTTGTTTACTGCGAATTGTTAGGTACATTTACTACCGTTATCGTTAAACATTATGCTACAGGGAACAGATAGTTGACCGTGAATGAAATTAGTGATATGTTTTGTCCGCAGAGACGCTTTCATGCGATCACACCAAAGTGACCCCGTATTACATAGAATCAATTACGACGAAAGTCGGATTCTGGGCAGCTCCATGCGGAAATTTATTCTCCTACCTCATCGGATGGTGCAATCCCAAACTCGAAGAATATATTCTCATGGGAGAAGACACCCCTCATATGTAAGTAAACTTTATCACTAAATCAATAACTGACTCAAAACGAGTTAAATGATAAATAAAATAGGTAGAGAGACTAAAAGAGCAATCTTTTGGAATAATACGTTAGATTATAATGCAGAGATCAACATGAGGGTAAGAGCAACATAAAAATTGTTGATGTACAGTGAGAAGCAAAAGTGAGTAGACACGGAACTAGTCACGTTCTTAGATGAAAAATCGTGATTTTCGCAAACTTTAATTAGTTATAACTTTTAAATGCGTTGCCCGATCTCGATGAAATTTTCAGCATACACATAACATATCTGAATCTACGAAATACATATTTTAAATTTTCATTATAGACTCGCATAAAGATGTTGAAAAATTACTATTCACCATTTTTTTTCACAATTTCAACAAATTGTAATTTTTTAAAACGATGAAAATACATATTTTAGTGAATTAATTTTGATAGCTTCTCAAAAAACTTCAAATTATTTAGTCCAATTTTAACCGAGGTATTCTATTTTGAACAGTGTCTACTCACTTTTACCTCTCACTATACATCTATAGTGTATTGTAAGCGTCTACTAATCGTAAGTTGAGACTCGAGGTGTGAAACGTTCCGCCTAATCCTTACCTCGAACCCTCGTCTAGTAGTAGTAGTAGTAGTTTCTACTAGTAGTTGTAACCTAGAGAGCGAATAGCGAGAATGCGTGTGGGTCAACTGTATAAGTGTGCGTGTCTAAGTCTGGCCCATCTAGCTCCGACCAATCAGACCCAATTCCTTAGGAGTCTCAACTTAGCAGACGCGTACAGTACTCGCGACGAAATCAGGCTTCCCCGGGAAAAATCAGTGATGTCCATAGTTCCCATTCTTATATAGTAAACATAGTTCCCATTTAAGGGTGTGTTTCCGAATGGCCCCGTTAGAATTGAGAACTCGGGTTCGGCATATAACCTAAATTGACTACCGGAAACCAATTAAAATTGGTTTCAGAGCTGGATGTCTTAGCGTTTTTGAGATATCGTGGTAAGAAGTTTTGTAAAATTCTGGGACTAATTATGCGCTATTCGATACTGACCATGCGCGATTCACTACTGCGCATTCGGGGAACGTTAGGCGCATGCGTATTGAGGCTAATAAAACCATATAGACGATTCTCGCGCATTTTCTGATCATTACACTTCAAACTTTGAAGTGAATTTCAAAGCTTCAATTATCTTTCCGTAATTTCTTAAATTTTTTTTATAACTCCATTGTAGGTTTATTAATATAGCTTTTACGTTTATTAATATAGGTAGGTTAAAAATTAATACAGGTTTATCTATATAGATTGTAGATTGATTGTAGATTTATTAACATAGGTTACAAAATGAACGACATTGAATGGTAAGTGGTATATGTCTTGTATTTTTCGCGTGATAATTCCAGATCGAGAAACTTTGATACATCGGTGCCAACGTGTGGGGCTTCTCCCAATTCGGCGGTTTTGTCCGAAAAAGCGAAACAAGTTCCGAAGCCGTACCTACATTATAAGAATAGTGAATAGGTTAGGTTATGCTACTTTTTATGGGTCGGGGTGCAGGGGGAGGGGCTCCGCCCCTCCCCCGCCCATTTGTTCAACAATATGATGGAATAGTGACGTGTTGGCATGTTAACGTTATACTATAATCTGGGTACGGCTTCGGAACTTTTACCGTTGGATCTTCCGTATCTGAATACAATGATTGGTATCCATGAGTTGATAGTTTTTCCATTTCCGGTGACACTTGAAGGGTGGTGGCTGCTGGGGAGTGGATTTAATAGCGCAATGCGCCCTTTAATAGCGCTGGTATATGTAAGTGTAAACTTGGGAACGGTAGAGGGGGTTATGAACCCCACGAGGCTCACAAAACAATGAGGTTAGGTTAGGTTCCGTGTATGCGCAGTATCGAATAGCATATGTTCAGTATTGAATAGCACATGCGCACTAATGAATTGCGCATGGTCAGTATCGAATAGCGCATGCGTAGTCCCGGAATTTTACAAAACTTCTTACTACGATATTTCAAAAACGGTAAGACATCCAGCTCTGAAACCAATTTTAATCGGTTTCTGATAGTCAATTTAGGTTATATGCCAAACCCGAGTTCTCAATTCTAACGGGGCCATTCGGAAACTTATCCCCATTTAATAGTATACTAAATACATTTCAACCTTTTCGGAGGCGACGCAAAATTAAAAAATTTTCTTCAACTTGTCCCGATTGTCAACCTTTGAGTAGCCGAATATAGACGAAGGGTATATATCTGTCTCTTTCCTATATAACTCGACAACACGATGCGGAGTCTGTGTTAGTGCGTATAGAATGTGTGGTCGGCATACCACACATTCTAGACAACACAATGCGGAGTCCGTATTAGTGCGTATAGAATGTGTGGTTGGCGTACCACACATATTCCGCGGCATATTCTAGAAAGAGACAGCCCCCCTGCCGCAAAGGCAACCTCCGCGTCGAGGGCTCCGTCCATAGGTTCTTACAATTAGACCTATGGTTTTCACATACTAATGAAATCGATTCAATTTCATGTACGCTGAGTTCTATCGAAGTTGCCGCAGTGAAGTTGGCGCACTAACACATTCACGCCGCGTCGTCGGCACCTCGCCTATCGGCTCACCGACGCGGCGTGAATGTGTTTGTGAATGTGTAGCCAACTTCACTGCGACAACTTCGATGGGACTCATGTCAGTGATGTTGCCAACTTCTGATGCAATTGTTACAATTACAAATGTTACCAGCCGTATTTATAACGTTTCGTATTTTTTCTTACGATTTATTAATTACCAAATGCGTCATACCGCAATCAAATGGTTATTTGCAGCATCGTTTATTCAGGTATTTTTAATTTTGCGCCGCTTCCGAAAAGGTTGAAATGTATTTACTATACTATTTAACGATTAAATAGGTTTTATTAATAGCTATTGAGTATTGATATAAATGAAATAGAAATTATTTTACACTTTTTAGCGCACCTCGAAGTCGGTTATACATATTGTATTTTTAAAATTATTTTATTTGAACTGCCATTGCTGAGTGAGCATATTTCGTTCACTTTCAATCTGTTTCACTCGACTCGCTCTTCGAGCCGATAAAAGGCAAGCCCAGGCAATTTTCAGAACGCCTACCTCCCCGGATAATATTCAACTTGCGGACCTGATCTCTCGCCATTTACGTATAAACGTTTATGCAGGAAAATTTGAATTTATATTTATTTACTTATTATTCTATATAATACTTAAAAATTATATTACTTTAATTAATATCGTCAAAGTTATGATTTTGAGAATTCCTGCTTCCTTCATATTGTCGTTTACCCTATAGAAACCTGATTTTGTCACGAGTGTACTACATCAGAGACCAAGTTTCCACCGAAGCATTAAATCCGATCCTGCTCCGGTGTGCATCGAATTTAATGTACTGTTTCCACTGGAAGTAGAGTAGAAGTGAGGAAGATTGATATTTCAGTAGAGCCAACTTAACTTTTGTTTGCTAAATGTACACAAACTCATAAGCGATGCGAAATCTCTTGTTGTCCATGATCTTCCAAATTTCCTTCTCTTTTAAAATATTAATTAATATCAAAGTTTCATCATATGACCATATATTACGTTTATTTTCCATTTTGGTAACTGAATAATAAAAAGTAAAGGTTAGCACTATCCGTTTTGAATCGGTTTCAACCGTTTCCACCGACTAAATTTTGTATGAAATCGCTACCACTCCGTCAAAGCTCGTGGATCGAAACAGAAATGAACTTAGCGCCGTCAGTCACATTTCCATCGACTTAAATTTGGTTCTACGCCGCATTAGGTGCGAATTAATGTTTCGGTGGAAACTTGGTCAGAGACGCTCAAAACAGTTGCACGGGCGCCAGAGTGCTGATGGACAGAAATCGTCTCTACTACTGTTATTTATCGATCAGTAGTGGGATGGTATGTAACACCGAAGCAGCCTCCCCACTCCGAAACGATTCTTGCGCAAGATGAAGACGTAAGTAAGTAAGGGCTGTACTTCTGGAAATCTCCCATCGTCAAATCAATGAGCTACCTGGTTTAAAATATTTCCTATCGTGCATAGAGAACGTTGGGAGTGGTCACATGTTGCGCAAGTGTAGAAATTTTGTGCAATTTTCAAAAATTATGTAGCGGTTACGGCTACGGTAATAAGCCTGTACTCCCAGGTCCAAGGTCCTTGAGAAGCTAGGCCTGGCCGGACACTTATTGTAAACTCTTGCATGCTCGCAAGGACAGTTTTCCACATCTGGTTTTTCCTAATGACTGGAGAAAGCTGGAAAAAACGGGCAGATCCTTGCCGGCCCTCATAAAGGACAGAGCTTACATGTTCGTACAGTTTTCGTAGTCAGCGTCAAACATATTCGATGTTCGTTTTTGTTATCCATTGTTATTATTGTTGTTCGTTTAAAATATATAATTGTTGTTTGTTATATAAAGTTATCAGTCTTTCACCACTCTCACGTTCTTCCAAAATTAACCATTAAATTGTACATATATGTAGATCATTTAATGGGTATTATTTTTAATTAAAATTAAAAGAGCACGGTTTTGTGGAGCACAGCTCCTCAAAAATGCTAAAAATGTAAAATTTCAACAACAGGAAATTTCTGCGTATGCGCACATTTTCACTACATTTTTCAACTTTTTACTCCAAAATGGGTATATTAGTGAAGTTTCATACCTCTCCGACAATGGGAGGATTTCGGAAGTATCCCCGTAAGTAAGTACAGTGTGATTTTCTCGCTACGCAAGACAAAAGCCGTGCTGCACAATCGAACCCTGCTGTTTTTGCGGGTAAAGAGACCCAGGGGCCATATCGCCGGACCCAAAACTGCTCTGTGTATGTTTATGGCTGAGACGAAGACAAGAAACGGAATAGCAGGGGTTCCGTTGTGCAGCACGGCTTTTGTCTTGCGTAGCGAGAGAATCACCCTGTATACGTATACTTTAAGCCCGTAACAGGGCACAGACGTGTCCCTCTTCAGGTGGGATTTCTCAGACGCGTCTGACGTACGCGACAGGACACGTGCGTTCACCACATGTGACTAGATTATTATAGACGCTGCGTTCGAACACAGATAAGATTTTTTATATACATGTACCGCCCGCGTCTGCTAAGTTGAGACGTGGGACGGCACAGCGACAAGGGGGGTCCTCCACACACACCGGCCGGCTTGCTAGTTTTACACAAGCCTTATTAGTTGACGCGACCGCTTCAGCCAATAATACACTATGGTCAAAAGTACTGTATGCGTCCACTAAGTTGAGACTCGAGGCGGCGCCTACCGTTCTTTTTCTCTGTCAGGCGACACACTTTATTTCTACTAGTAGTTGTAACCTAGGAAGCGAATAGCGAGAATGCGTGTGGGTCAACTGTATAAGTGTGCGTGTCTTAGCCTGGCCCATCTAGCTCCGACCAATCAGACCCAATTCCTTAGGAGTCTCAACTTAGCAGACGCGTACAGTACGTGTGAGTTAAGGTGGGACACGACCACTCAGGCCCACATTCCTTCCGAGTATCAACTTATTGTTAGTAGACGCAGACGGTATATGCAATGGTTAGGTTCAAACGTGTGCGTCTGGACGAACGGTTCGAATTTTAATATGATCGAAACCGATCGCGTATGGCTATTTCTAGACTGCTTTGGAAGCAGACGGTTGAAAATAAATGCACGTATCTCCATTATACCAGTTTAAATGCGTCCGACGCATACTGTTCTCCGCGAGAATTTGGCATCTGAAATGGCAGAAAGGTAACAAGGGATCCTTGTATGCTCCGTCTGACCCCACTCTTAATATCTAGCTTAATCCCCATCCATAGGTTCTGGAGGTTGTGCTACTGCTTTGAAGTCATCGTCCCCGCATCACTTTCTTCCAGTCACACTTGACTGTTTTCTTCGTCCAGCGATTCGACCAATTACGAAAATAAGTACTTACCTACTTGTGATGCGAAGTAGGGATATCGGATAGTGGGGCATAGATCCCTACAAGTTTTATCCATGCCATCTTCTCGTGGACGTACAGTACGTTTGACGCGTGCGTCAGATACGCGTAAGAAGTCCTATCTTTATTACTTGCTGAGCTTAAAGGTAAACGCGTCCATGAATGTAGCCAATGGAAATTTTTGCATACCTCTAATACAACGTATTACCCAAAAGATTACCCTTATACCTATCCTGGTTAATGATAAGGAATGTGATAATAAAAGAACTGGAAAAAATTCATTCAAAATGTTTTCAGAGCACGCGGCATCTATTATCTATCAACAAACGCAGACAAACCATACGCCCGAGGCCTCCCCGTAAAAAGTCAACAAACGACAAACAGGAAACGATCGTCCTACCGCCAGTATTAAGTCTACTGAAACAACTGATTAACATAATTATAGAATAGCCAATTCCTAATTTAGTCCTATACATTCTGTTATGTTTGTCCTTGTTGTTTCGTTGTATAGTTTCTATAATTAATTCTTAAGTTACTACGCAACCTACCGTGGAACCTCCATAACCCAACGATTGTCGGTGATTAAAGCTTTTGTTGCATTTGATTGTATCGTCATAGCGAACCAAGAACTTTCACCTTTCTCATGGTGATCTTTCTATCAAATCCTTCATCGTTTTGTGACAGTGTTGCTTCTTCATCGTTTGTAATTGGTCGATGTTATAGTTGTACTTTTAATGCAGTGAATCTTGTTGTTAATTGTGTTTAAGGATGAAAAGAATGATAATGTTAAGTTTAGAGGTAGTATTTATACAGAAAAGGAGATTTATTTGTAATTCGTATGAATAACATAGAATTACGTATAATGAAATTAATAAATTTCTAAAATAAATATATTATGAAAAATAATAAGATGAGTTTGCTGAAAAATGTAAATACTTGAAGACGAAATGTTAATGCGAGACTACTTAAAAGGTGAACTTGTAGAAAAGCTACTCCCCTTCCGATTTCAACGATTTTTGAATATGTTGTAAAATTCGTCATTTTAAGCAATTTTTTCCGCTAAGCTATATATCGGATTCGATTAGTTTGCGAGATATTCGCGAAAAACTAAGTACTACTACATTGAATTTCGTATACGTCCGCGGCTGTATGTGCGTCAGCAAGCGACCCTCGCTTATCTACTGTTTCTATCAACAGCACCATAATATGGCCTGGCTACCGTCCATATAACGGGTCAGCTTAAAATCAAAATTAACTACTAATTTCAATAATTTTGACATCGAATTTGCCTGAAGGCGGCCGGAATATTACTGTGCCCTAACCTAACCTAATCTAGACATCATCATTATCATCATATTATAACGCAGAAACATGTCCGTGAGTTACGCTGAGACGTTGTACGCATGCTCGAAAACAAGGCAGAAAAATATTATATGTGTACAGTAAACCTACCCAAGTGTTTACACTCCGATTTTGATGGGCTTTGAATATTTTGTAGTCCAGGTCAAAATAAGAAACACATATTTTTTTATACGTGCCCCTACGGCGATTAAAGAGGTGAAACACCATCTTTAAAAAAATCGGTTTTTATATTTTTGAGCTAATACCGCCGAAATGGTACAAAATATTTATAAAAGTTTCAAACAAAAGATTTATGATATTTAATGTACTTTATAACAGTGTACTCCGATTTTTTGAAAATATCATTTTTTTCAAAATTCTTACCCCCTCCCTTAATTAAAAAAAATCGGAGTACACAGTTATAAAGTACATTAAATATCTTTTGTTTGAAACTTTTTTAAATATTTTGTACCATTTCGGCGGTATTAGCTCAGAAATATAAAAACCGATTTTTTTAAAGATGGTGTTTCACCCGTTTAATCGCCGTATGGGCACGTATAAAAAAATACGTGTTTCTTATTTGGACCTAGACTACAAAATATTCAAAGCCCATCAAAATCGGAGTGTAACACTTGGGTAGGTTTACTTGTGAGTTCCATCGAAGTTGTCGCAGTGAAGTTGGCGCACTAACACATTCACGCCGCGTCGGTGAGCCGATGGGCAAGGTGCCGACAACGCGGCGTGAATGTGTTAGTGAATGCGTGGCCAACTTCACTGCGACAAGTTCAATGCAACTCAGTGTACTCTTACAATGATAGTACAGTAAAACCCTTATTAAGGGACACTTTTTAAGGGATACATAAAAACTAATTACGTCATCATTGTGGGTGCTTCGATTACTTTTTCTTTGATTACTTTCTTTGTAAAAATTTACTGCGCATGTCTATCTCTTACGATTTAGAACTGCGCAAGGGTCAACGTTTCCATAAGATAATAGCGGATCCTGCGCAAATTTTCCAACAAATCAAATTGATGCATTTTTACAACACAATGTAGTTTACAACGAAGTTTTTAATTAAAAGTTTCATTTGGTTTAATATCATGGAATTGGAGCTTGGGGTGGATAGTGGGCAAAGTCAAATTTATATGTTAACTGATTAATTCCCCGTGCATAGCACGGGGCGTTCCACTAGTATATATAAGAGAAAAATTATATTCCGTCACAACTGGTATTTATCATTGTGCACCATAAGATTGTCTGCCGTCCGTACTAATGTTGGCGGTATTTTATTTTTTCTGTTATTTATATGTCTAGGTTAAGTTACGGCCGACTTTAGGCCGCCCACACGGGTCAAATATTATAATTTGATTTTTTAGTTCACCTGTTGTACGAATAGGAGCCGGACCACATGGTGCTGCATACAGAAACGGTAGGCAAGAAGCGAGCCGGCGCGACGCGACGCACATACGGCCACGGGCGTATACGTATAGCCAGAATTCACTGTAGTAGTAACAATATTCTTTTGCGATTATTTCGCAAACTAATCGAATCCGACATATAGTTTAGAGGAAAAAGTTACTTAAAATGTCGAATTTTACAACATATTTAAAAATCATCGAAATCAGAAGAAGGAAGGGGGGCTTTTTCTACAAGTTTACCGAAAATTCTATTACAGTAAAAGTTAGATAAGTACCCGAGCACATCCATGGGATAATTGCCTAATAATCAGTCCTACCACCTAGGGGATTCCCCTTGAAGACTGCGAAGCTGGACGAACGAATAGTGTAACCTGATCAGAACTGGAATAACGATGAAACAATATTAGTGCAACAACAAAACTTTTTGATTTTTTTTTTTAATGAAATATATACTAATGTAATTGTGAAGTTCTTTTGATTAAAACAAAACCAAACATGATATAATTAGAAGTATATTTACTTATTATTTTAAAAAGGGAAAATAGTTGAGATCACATTTAGGTATTAAATAAGTGAAAGAAAATCACTCGTTAAATAAACAAATATGCCTCAAATTATAACGTGTTTAGTTTTATTTTAATTGGAAGAACCTCAATTACATTGATAAAAGTTTTATTTAGCAAAAATAAGAACTAAAAAAGGTTTATTGTTGATTTAGTATTATCTCACTAATCATCTTTTTCTCGGTTCCTTTGATTATTACACCTCTTTCTCTTTCGTTCTCTGTCCTTTTCTAAGGTCAGCAACATTCAAACACTCGGCTCGAGCCGTTTCTAAGAACCAAAAAGAGACCTCCGCTTCGTAATTGAACGTTTTGGTCTCATTGTCAGTATTCGAGTAGTTATCCAACTTTTACTGTAATTCTATCCTCTGACTTAAACTCTATTTATAGGAAAAGGGGGGGGTGTTATAGTCGCTACTAAGGGCCATACAGGGTTATTAACAAATAAATTTTATGACGTAAATAATAAAAGGTTTTGATAAATGTTTTTAATTGTTGATCCTTTCAACACCATAGCATCCTTTTCGAGGTTAAGATTTCGTGGATTTCGCATAAACAGAATTGGTGACCATAGAAATCAGTGATCATACCGCCAAAAAACACTGTCTATTAGGCCTCAAATGTCTTTCTTTTTTAATTGGCATGAAATTATAGATAAGGCTTGGATATCAAATAAAATAATTCAACTTTCGTTTCTTATCCATGAACATTAAATCTAGGTTTGATTTGATATTTTCTGATTAAGGACAAAAAATACTAATTTTAATTTTTCAGAGATTAAAACCTTTACTATTTAATATCATTTTTAAACTAAAAGCAATCGACTTCTTTTTTTCTGATTGTAAATCTCATATTTTTAAACAAATTTAATGTAATTTTGAAATTAAAATTTCATTTAGACTATTAAAAATTCAAAATTCACCTGTCCCTACTAGAGGTCTCTATTTCACGTATACGTAAATTGCACGTATATGTACTGTACTCGTACTCTGAAGAAACACAAAAGTAGAATCACAGCCACACCAGTTTTATGTTAACAACAATATTTATTACATAATAATTACGATATAATAATAATTTCTATGGATTTACAGTACACTGTCGCGCTAAACCTTAATTATGTATTAATATGCAATGGAATGATTACAAGTTTCTTAATACATCCACGTTTCAAGCTTGGAGGCATACGGGATTTTGTTTCTCAGGTTTCTGTGGCTCGAATGCAATTGTCCAGGGAACGCGTTCCCATCGTCTGCGCCACGTTTGATCGTTGCACTGTCAACAGATGAACGATGCTCGAGCTTGACCAAAAAAGATCAATTCGCTCTGATTAACATCGTATCGAAATGTAGAACTTCGATTTCACGTAAGTATATATTGGATATTCATATCTGTTTTAGATTACAGAGTTAAGAATAATCTCTCTACACTTTATGGCGGACAACGTAGGATCCATAAAAAATGGACAGCCTCAATTTTTTTATGAAAAATAACTAAATATCTTGATTTCTAGCGTGGACATATGTATTTCATTCGAGAGTCAGAACGATGCTTCAACATCAGTTTTGAAAACGAATTGTGCGTTAGTCACTTTTTAGTTTTTTTTTTTTTTTTTTTTTTTTTTTTTACGCCTTTCAAAATCTGAGAAGAGTACTTATTATCATTTATCTTCCAAAATCTGATCGAAGTTATTTTAAAAATTGCGATAATAAGTGCTTATGAGTGCTCAGATTTTGGAAGATATTCAAGCTTTATTAACACTTCACCAAACAAAAGTTAAAATTGGGGCTCTCTTCATGGTCCGCCGTTCGAGAGTTAACACAGCAATTAATTAGATTTAAATACTTCAAATAGAACATTTTAACTAAGGAGAAAAGTAGGAACACCTTGATTACCGTAATGAAAATGAAGATATTTAGTACCATATGTATAGTAACGAGCAAAGATATAATTATTTAATTGTTCAATATATTAAGTGTATAAATAAATTCGGTGCCCTTAGCATTATGCCTATTTAATCACTATTTGAAATGTGAATATTTTCCCGCGCTTGTGTGGACTTAAAAGTGGGGCGAGAATACGATAATGATTATTTTAATAATTGGGTTACTATGACTTTTAAAAATAAATCTTCAATTAAAGAAAAGGCACTGAATTCATTAGGCATTTAGTTAAATTTAAATTGTTAATCACTAATCAGTTTCATTCTAATCACAGTGTTATCGATTAAAAACCAATTGATAAACCTTTTATTTATAATTCAATTGAAATAATAGGATTTAGTTTTTAAATTAGTTTTTCCAATTTTTAATTTGTATTGTACAGTAGATTCTCGTTATATTGTCGTTCCTGGGACTCCAGGAGCTGAAAATTTCTCAAGCTTCCAAACTCTTATTTGAAGCAGGGAGGGTAGATAGAAATATAACATTTTCATAGACTATGATAGTAGAAGAGTAACACTATTAGGTTTGAAAATTCGTAGGCAATTCAAATCGCTTACGTGACCATATAACAAGAGTCTACTGTATTTCATCTGTAAATGGTTAAGTGAAGTGTTAATTTCTTAATTGGTGGAAGACAAATTAACTCGTCGGTCGAGTATATCATTGTAATATTACTACAATACATTTAGTGCGGGTGCTTTATCATTATTAATTTTGTTTTGAATGTTTCTTGACTCTTTCGCGACGGCAATATCGACACTCTACATGAATTGCTGTCATCATAATGTTCGGAAAACTACTTTTACTTCATTCTATTTATAAAATTATTTATCACAACTAATTGTAACACGAAGCAGTAATCCTTCTGAGTAATATTAGGTGTACAAATTAATTTAGTGCTTTTCCTGTTTTTTTTTTTTTTTATAATTGAAGATTTATTCTTAAGAAATCATTATAACTCCAGTTACTGGATTTATTTTCATTATTATACATTCTCGCGCCACTTTTCAAATACACAGAAGCGCGGGAAAATATCCAAATTTAAAATAGTAATTAAGAAGGGGCGGTGCTACAGGCATCAAATTAATTTGTACACCTAATATTTTTACATCTCCGATGCATCTGTGACATTTTTTCTGACCATAAGAAATTGTAAATTATCCACTGGAAGAAAAGGTCGTATTTAAAAATGATAATTCAATGATTTCGTTATCACTGACTGACTTGAGGAAATTTGAAAACCGTCTCAAAAAAGTTGAAACAATTTATAGTGTCATTAACAGATTTTTCTTTCAATAATAAATCACAGTGACGAATTAAAAAATTTTTTTTGGTTTTTGTTTTAACTCAACGCTCAATAATTATTATCCATATTCTGCTGTGGCATCGTTCTACTCGCGAAAAAACGAGACTTAAAAGAAACAGAAGTCAAACTAAGCTAAAGACTTTACAAAGATTCACTGCTCCTCCTTTTTTCTTTATTTACATCGTTATGTTTTTTATTTCTCTTCCTGCCATTTGGACCGATTTATAGATCTACGATTTCTGAACTCTCGTATTATATGTATATGTAATGCTAACACGTACGTTTATCGGTTGGATCGATTCGAAATTCAAAAAACAATTTTTAAAAAATCAGGTCACTGTTTACAGAAACGACCATGCTCGAAAGACTGGCGCTGCCCTTTTCGATGGAGTTTTATGTAATCGTCATTTTTTAAATGATAATAAAAAGAAAATTACTTAATTGTGTACAATTTTAACACATTCGCAGCCAATACTTAAGATAAAAATGAACGTTACAAATTTTGCTTTGAAATATGTCCTATAATGTTAACCCACAAAAATTCGAAAATTGATATTTTAATATAATTCTTTTCTTAAGCCCACAAAGAACATTTTTTTATATAATTTTCATTGAATATAATTGCATTGTAATTGAAAAAGTTAAAACTAATATATGTCATACTGTATTTTGCAGTAAGATGCAGGGCCGACTCTACCGATGGTGCATTTGCACGAGGCGGCAAAATCGGCCGAAATTATACGCAACTCAAATGTAATAAAATAAAAAAAAGGTTATAACATGAATGATAGAAAATTATTTAAATTTAAATTTTCACATAATAAAATTTTGTAATGTTTTAAGAGCTACTGACCATTGTGGTGATTATTTTTTATAGTATGATTATTTTTGACTGACTTATAAACTTTCATTATCTAATACTATTATTTTTTGTGCGCCATATTCTGGCAAGTGTTGTAAATAATCTGTTAACTTATGAGATCGTTATAAGTTATTTTTTCATCGTAAGTAATTTTGCAATAATGTTAAGTGCCATAATATGTTTTTAAAAATAAGCTATTGAGCTTTTAGCAAACATAAACATACATTAATGCAATATAATGAACTGTTAATTTAAAGAATTCATAATAATAATGAATAAATAAATACACTGAAATAATGATTCAACATCTCATTAATCTCCAAATTAAATACTGTTATAAAAATAAAAAGTAAAATCGTACTAAATTTCAGATGTGTTTTACGCAAAATGGCGATTATATGGATTAGGTTAGGTAGGGTTAGGTTATGTGGGTTAACACTGTATTGCAAAGTAGTATTCATATTATGTTGGTAAGTAGTTATTATTTTGAATTAAAACAAAGTTTTCCGTTATGAACAGCCTAGACAGAGGTATTTTAATTATTTCAAACTTATACACTAATAAAACAAAAAAGAAAAAAGAAAAAGATGAAATATTCATGGATGAGCTGCTCCTAAATAAAACACCTATGAAGAAACAAGTTTCTTTAACTTTAGATTTTAATTTGATTTTGATTTTGTTCAGGCTTAATTTGATTATTTTGAAGTGAAAATAATAATTTTATCTCAATGACTGCGTATGTGTTAACTAATTACGAGTGTCGTCGATGATCGGTAATGATCGCTACCAAACGATGTTCTTTATCAAAATAATATTCACTATTATAACAAATGTCTAAATGACGAATAAATGATAGAAAAAAAAGATGAAACACAAAATTGAAATTACTTACAAGAATTAAGTTCAAAATATTAGTAAAAATAAATTCTTATTTGAATTTGTTAGGTGTATTTTACGACTTCTATTAGCAACTATATCGTAAAAAAGCACAGGCATCGAGGTCTTAGGCACATTTTGTTCACTCCTCTTATCATTGTAGATCAATATCCCAACTTCGCCAAATGCTTTCGAGCGTGCTCCAATCGCCAAGCACAGTGTTGAATATGTTACGATGTTATATTTTCTTTTTAAATCAAAAATTTCATTATTTATTGAATTTCCTTCAATACTACTTTTCGATCTGATTTCGTACACATTCGTGAGCCAGTTCGGATCGATTGTCACTTTTCGTTAAAATTTTCTCATGCGTCTATTCAACTAAAAAACTACGCGTTGCGTATTCCTCGTTGAATTATTATTATTAGTATTAATAGTAATTTTATTATTATTTTTCATACCACGACCGATTTGTTTAAATAGCGCTGCTCATTATTGGTAATCTGGTCAATAAGTGTACCCGATGTATTCGGTGTAAGTTATGCACGTACATCATTTTAAAACTTTTGAAAATTCTTATGAAAATGGCAACAGATCCCTAAAATTACTCACAGATGGAACAGTGATAAATATCGCGGTAGATATTCAATTTTATTTATGAATTCTCAAAAGTTTCAGCGTTATCCTTGTATACGTAATGAGTATACGAATTGCATGACAGTTATCCGTACGTCCTTTTCTCTCTTTCGTATCGCAGCTATAACTTCCTTAACACGTTCAGCCCGGTAAATAATCTAAAAACCGAGTGACAAATTTTTAATGACTATGATATAACGATATCGTAAATTAAAGCATCGAAAAGCAGTGCTGATTGATCTTACGATGCTTAATATTGTCTAATGATCGTTAAACCGGTTGATACTTTGGTCAAACTTCGTCTTAGGGGACCAAAAATTAACGGGTCTAAAATATGTGGAAAATGCAAGTGAAAAGTCCAGGAAACAAACGGTTTAAAAAATACGACTACATAAAAATGTGTGTACTTGGCGTACGTTGACAGGTCAGTACGATGCTATATTGACTCTATCCCGCATCCAATCCTTTGCTGGCCGCCAGTCGGACTTTATTCGTTGGGTGTGAGTACCATCAGTTCCTATCAAATCCGAGGGGATATTTTTTATAAAAAAAAAAAACTAACCTTAGGTATACGGGGCAGTTTAGACCGCCACTTACGTAATTCTATTTTACCGACGGCAACTCCATTCATTGGACAATATGGCGTCGTACTGACCTGTCAAAGTACGCCAAGTACACACATTTTTATGTACTCGTATCTTTTAAACTATTGGTTTCCTAAACTTTTAACTTGCATTTTCGGACTTTTCAGGTCAAAAACTACAAGATTTGATAACTTTTAACCAAAAATTTTTGATCCCCTAAGACAAAGTGCAGCCGATACTTTTACAGCGACTTTACTATGCTGACCGTGTTGTCTTATGATGACGTCCGTGCTGAAAGTGTTAAGATCACGTCGGGAACTGCGACATCGATCGATTGTCATATGTCAGTGGCGCTACATATGGAAATCATTTCGAAAACAATGAAAGGCACTATTTTGATGTTACGTGGACACAGGTAGCGCCGATAATAATCATCAAATGGTATAATACATACTTCTGTCTCACGTGTCTGCAGCAAGCTTGTTATGCCAGGTCTACACTGGATATTTCTATAGCGAGCTGTTCGCGAACAGTAGTGTAGACCCGGCATTACTGCGTGAATTATGGCATCATTTACGTGCAATGATTTGAAGATCATTATACTAACCCTCAAATGGTGGAGGCGAATCTATTGGGTCGGTAAGAAAGTAATTTCGGTTTTTAAGTATGAGATATTTTAAGTAATTTTCAATAGTTGTGTGTGATACATTTAATCTCTCTGCAATCTCTCGTACAGATACATGACGATTTGATGCAATTATGGTTTTGATCTGGTCATCATCAACTTCGGTAGGTCGACCAGCACGTTGGTCATTTTTCAGTGAAAAATCTCCAGAACGGAATTTTTGAAACCAACTCTGACACGTGCGTTCTGTTAAGCAATCAACGCCATAAACTTTACATATCTCTTTGCGAGACTCATCAGCTTTATTTCCTTTACGAAAATAAAAATGCAAATATGTCGAAAATACTCGTTTTTACGCTCCATGTTAAAATTAATATTAAACTACTACTTATAAACAAAATTACGCGCAATTGGTTTCTAAAATAACCTAAAAGCAGCAGCTATCAAATGACAACATGATTTTTTATTATTCTAATTTTTTTAATTTTATACTATTTCTTTAGATATTATTTCTCTTTAGATATTAATCTTTTGTTTGCTTAATTTTAGTCGATGCACCATTAAACAGGTATAAGTAACAGTTAACTCAGCCATCGCCATTCGAGGGCTACATAACTCTTCTAGACAGTTTCTTTTCGAATCTGCTAACGATTTTGAAGGTTCAATCAACAATCAGGTACGAAGGAATTACTAGATCGAGATTTTGGTTCGTGCTGGACATGTGTTCTAATGTGAATGGGCCTTTACCGTAGAAAAACATCGAGTGAAGCGAGTGTAATGTATTTTAAAGTCTCGTTGTCAGTCATGTTCTTAGATTACACTTTGTACCAACGCTGCTGTTTGCTCGTACACTATTGGTTGGTTAATAAAACATTAAAAAATAATAGAGTAACTTCAGAAAAATCAGTTGTAAAGTAACATTGTATTTTAATGATTGTTATTGTGAAGCTTATAACATCAACATTCTTTTAAACTTTTTAATTTAAACTTCGAGTCTGATATCACTTAACATTAACATGAAATCAAACAAAAACCATATGAACACACATGTAATAATGTGTAAAAAAAAACAAACGCTGATTTAGTTCCTATATAAGTAGTTTGATACAAGTAACACGTAGCTTTTCGATCGATGCCGGGCTCACGGCGTATTTTTTTTTTTCTCATGAAAGTTTTAAGTACAATGCTGCATAATAACACGATTCGAACATGCTACCGATATAATCGTTTATGGTAATTGGTCCTGAAAAAATGATAGAACCAAATCTAGTTAAGTGTTGCGGTTATGGATTCAAGCGGTATCCACGCGCGATAAGAAAACCGGATTCAAGAAACGATTTTCACTTTAGAATCCGGGAGGTAAGTGGAATGATATTATCCAAGAATTTGCCTCTCTACGTGCCAACACTTATACACTTCTATCCTACGCTTCCTATATTACTCGTGATGATCGATTTTATGCATATTAATGACTGCTCCTCTTAGATAATACATCAATGTACCACTTTGCCGACTGAAATGCTGTAATCAGCATCAATACCATGAACTATCGAATTACCTGTGAATAATTAAATCGCAGTTATCGATGATTATTATAAACTATCGCTGCAGGATATACAGTTTTGTCCACAAGAGTCCTTGGAAAATTTTTATGGATTACCTATCCATGTATGCTCATAGGGGATTAATGGGTTTATGAGTGGATTTTCGATAAGAATTTGTTTACTAAAGAGAAGTTTGGAGAACCATATATTTTAAGATGGTTAGTTAGGGAGACTAAATACAAATGATAGGTCAGTGTTTTCCAAAGCAGCTTCTACAGTTTAGAAATTGGGATTCCGAACAGACCATGAGATTATGGATGTATTTAAATTTGGACATAATACAGAATTTGGGTGATGGAAAACCAAAACATGTTAAGGATACATGTTATGATTGGCATCATTATGAACTATTGCTTCTATGGATAGCACTGATGTAGAACAATGTTTCTATAAATAACAGTGTTATAGATCAGTGTTTCCATGGGCAGCATTGAAATAGACCAGTGGTTTTCTAGATAGACAGTGTTTCCCTAGACAGCATTGATACAGTCCAGTGTTTCCATGGATAGCATTGTTATACATCACTATTCCAACAGACAATATTGTTATAGAGCAGTGCTTCCATAGACAGCATAGTTATAGACCAGTGATTTCTCAGACAGTATCATTATAAATCAATGCTTCCACAAACAGTATTGTTACTAGCCTATTGCTCCTATGAACAGCATAGCTCTTGACTATTGCTCCAACATATAGTATCATTATGGATTATAAACTAATGCTCCCATTGTTATAAACTAATGCTCTCATGGATAATGTCATTGTAAACCAATGTTCCCATAGCAGCATCACAATAGACTAATGCTCCCATGGACAACATTGTCATAAACTAATGCTCTCATGGACAATGTCATCATAGACCAATGTTCCCATAGGTGATATCATTATAGACCACTGAAGTGTTATCCACTAGAGCTACTGTTTACATTTTATAAAATTTAGCAACTTCCTACTATGGCTTATTTGACACTTATCACAGAGTCCATAAAATGGGACTGATGGGTTTCCTGTGACTTCATGAGTGCTGAGGAGGCTGAAGGGCGAGCCAAACAGTGAAATTGCAAAACATGTAAAGGATCTCTCTTATGGACAGTGCTGATGTACAATTCTAGCATATAAAGTGTATTATTTAAGACTTAAGTTATGATTGCATTATGTATACAAGCATGAGATGTTTCTAAAGCTTTGTTAAAAAAATATAAGGAAAGCTTGGAACAATGTTTGATATGCATGTTTGAGGTGTTATATAGATAGTGAATGTAGTTTCCAAGGGATATAATGATTAATGCAAGCGTGCTTACGTATTTTTTGGAATATTCTGTCGGCAAAGTTGTACTTGTATGCATTCTTCTCTCAAGTGTCTTAACGTACTTTTTTTTATTTCTGGACTAGATACTCTGATCGGCGATGGTACTCTGGCATCGAGTCTTCGTACGACCCTTCAAAGGGTCGAGAAACTTAACAAGATACTGACGAAATGGGAAACGTTATCTATCCATGTTTCGTTTTTCCGTATATTAAATTAACGTTACACTAAATTTATACGCGATACATTAAATTAACGTTACACCGTTGTTAAATAAGTAACAGTCGACATTTGACGAAGATACTTCATCGTTTTCATAACGTACAAAAAATAATCTTGATACGAATTTCTATATATTTCTAACCAAATATTTCTATTGTTTTTTTTCTCTTTTCGCGTTTTGTAATGTACAGAGAGATAACTAAATTCAGAAGAGTACTTCGTTCATGTATTCGACGGTGCGCATTGTTCCCCGAAGCAGAATTGTATGAAACGTTTCTCAATTTTATACTTCGAGCAACATTGATTTTTTTTTTGTATAGCGTGCATGATATAACAGGTACACAATTAAATGTATTATCGTATTAACATTGAAATCCTGGAAATACATGGAATGAAATCCGTCGAAGACATTTTCAAATTAACATACATATGTAGCTCTTCCTCTGATCTCTTTCTGTTTTATCACATTGGTACAAATGGTTTGTCGTATTTGTACAATACCCAGCATCGCGCCTGCTGGAAGGAACCCATCACTTGCGATAAAAGTTTTATAATATTTAATAATTAAACATTAAAAATTAATATTAATATACTATTCAAAATTAGGACTTTGAAAATTACTATTTTTAATAATGATAATATAACGACTAAAATAATAATCAAGATAATCATTCATATGAGGCTGTTGATTGTACTTAAATTCATCCATTAAATAAAAGTTTCGCCTTTTAAATTTTTTGCTTAACAGTATTTTAAAAATAATCCATATTAAAATAAGTATTGATAAACTAAAAGTACATAGAATGCATTGAAATTTTCGAGTACTGTAATCAGAGGCGGACTGGGACTTAAGTTTTCACCCCTAATTTTAATTAATTAGGTCCCAAATCCCTACCGGCCCATTGAGAATCTACCCGAACTCGATAGCCAGTCTGCAGGGTGATCCTCTCGCAGCCGGACATAAAGGAACTGGCGACAATGAACCCCTTGACTGCACCATGAAGATACAGAGTCGTCTCGGCCCGGGTAAGTCCCCGCTGGCACGTGACAATGCGGACCTCTTTATGGTGCGGTCAAGGGGTTCATTGTCGCCAATGTTCCTTTGTGTCCGGTTGCGAGTGGATCACCCTGTATAGTAAGCAATAGTTCTGTTTCTCCTCTATCGTCACTTTTTCCTAAGGAAAGCCCCTTTGCTCGGCGGTGTACAACGTCCCATTTGAACTAACAATAAGTTCATAAATTCCATAAAAACGAAATACAAAAAATAACTATAAGTAAAAAGTTGATTTGATAAACATAATTTTAACCTAGATCCAAATATACAACGAACCCTTTGTACTAATCTAATAAACACCGTACCTGTTCAAACTCGAAGGGGCGTAGGACTTTTATCTGATCAGCATTAAACTGATAAGCTTTACGAAATTGTTGAGTACACCTTAACACTTTCTTCATGATATCTTTTTCTTTGTTACGAATAATTAATGTTACTACTAATATCGTTACCGGTAGTGATATCGTTACATGCTTATTACAACTTGATCACGTGCAATGCTTATCTGGTGAAGGTTGCGTGAAACGTAGAGTAAGTACACGTACTATGCTCGAAAGAAGAAGAAAAAGAAAGATCGAATCGCACGGGGAATCAAAAGTTTCTAATTACTACGATGATGCTGATTCGAATGGAATTTATGAAGATTTAACGACAACTGAGAAAATCTCTGCGTGATATTTACAAAGTTACGATGCATTTGCTCGACCACGATTGGACGAGGGAAGGAGAACTCGATAAAGCGTTAAGGCCCGTTTACATGGATGCTCATTCTTTTCGTTCGCAAAGTCACCAATGTTAGCCGATGACTTTGAGTGAAAAAAAAAATGCGGTGCGTCGAAGGAAGGTATTTCTTTCGAGGACTTCTAATAAAACGTGCTTTTTCTTAGCTTTAAAACACGTACCCACGCAAAAACTACATTTATTGTACCTATCAACCCATTCTTTTTTCTTTTTCCTTTCTTTCAGTCGAATTCGAAGCTTCAAAGTCAACGATGCGATAAAATATATGAACATTAGTTTTTTTTTGTTTGATAGCAGTCAAACTCAGTTAATACTGTATAAAGTCAGTTTTCTAACAATCGTTTTTCTTTATCTTTTTCTCGAAGGATACATATAATATATATAATATATTTATATATAATATATAATGCTTTGTAGATCTCAGGACGTTCGTAATTGTTTCGTAAAGTTTAGCCTGGAACGTATCATTAATAGCCGCGTAACATTTTTCTTCTTTTATGTTCTTCCTTCAATTCCCAAGATACAATAAAGAATCACCGTGGACTCGTCACTAACCTTCTTCTTTTTCCTTTCTTTACGCTCATTATCCGAGAAACAGTTCAACGAAATGATGACGCAAGTTATACAATTGGTAGGCCTATTACGTTTTGAAAAACAATAACAGTATCTATATATATGTATATAACACGTGGTAAATATATACAGAGTGTTTCATAATGTACAGGACTCGCTTCAATGACTGATAGAAAACACAAAGACAATGAAAAAAGTATAGATTTATTTACTTTTATTTTTAAGTTATAGCCACTTTTTTTATTTTAATATTTTCCAACGATAAATCTATTTTTTAACTTATTTTACTATGAGAATTAATTAAATAATTGTCTTGACACAGATATTTAGTAATGTATTTAGACGTTTAATGCGATAAGAGAACAGAGATTTAATATAATTGAATAGTTAATTTAAAACAAATATTTAATAATGTTAAAGTCTGTTTGAAGTTACAGAGTTGTTCAAAAAACAAGGATCAAACGATGTAATTTGGAGGTTAGGTTGAAATTATGATGAGCACTCATAATGAAATTAGGCTTCCGTGAGCTCTCACCCCACCTCTTAGGTAGCCACAGGAAGATTGAGGATGTAGGAAAGAGGATCTCATATACATATACATATATATATATATATATATATATATATATATATATATATATATATATATATAGGTTTGTTGCTTCCCACCACTTATATATAAATGTTCACGCGGGAAAATTTAAATTGATATTTATTTATTCTTTTGCCAAATTTTTAATATTTAATAATTAAAAATTATATATTTTTTTAATTTAAATTACTTTTAATATTAATATCATCAAAATTAAGATTTTGGGAATTCCTGTTTTTCCTATACCACTATTTTCCCTAGGGAAGTCTGATTTGACGACGAGTATATGTATGTCTATAGGAACTCCTTTTACAATGTCCGTGTCTCTAATCTTTTGCTGAACAGGGCCCCATACGTTATGAAACACCGTGTACACCAATATGTTTACAATTTCACGTACACATGTATGTATATTTTGAACGAACATGCAGAATCGCGGGAAAAACGAACACCCGTGGATAAAGATACAATGTTTACCAACAATTCCGCACATTCAATCTCGGTAACTCGCTAATCAAATCGTATTCCTTTGTTCTATTTCAGTCTCGCTCTACGGACAAACCACCATTCGTGCAGTCATCGATTATAACACTTTTATCGATAAAACAAGTGAACTATGAAATTATGCTAGTGAAAGTATTATAATCGAACGATGCAATTACAACAAAAACTTCTGTGGAGTTTGTTCGCTAGTGAAACCGTAGAAACTTGTATTTTATTAGAGAAGTTTTTGAATTTCCCGTCCTCTGTGTTGATAGGAGATTCGTTTTGATCGGACGAGTTGCCCGTACAGGTAGCGCATAGTCTATGGTCGTTACCAGTACAAAGGTATCGCGATCTAAGCATTGTCGGTTTGCAAAAAAATTCAATGCATCGTTCCTTGAAATATTAGCAAATAAATATTAATACAAAGAAGAGAAACAGTAGGAAAGTTCGCATGTGAATTGTACAAAAGAAATCATATAAAGGCGATCGGGTAAGTTACAATGACGAAACCGTTCAGTTTCTATTATATGTATTGATTACAATATAATTATAACTATAGGTAATTATACTTGTTCATTTATTTTTTTTGCACGAACACGACTATCGATTTGTACAAACGTCGTTGATGTTCCACTACTGCTCACACAGTCCAACACGATTTACGTCGTATATATTATACGCGGAATATATATATAATATAATTTCTAATAAGATTAACAGCATCGCTATCTTATAAACATCTCATCAAAAAACGTGCCATCAATTGAAACAACGAACAAAAAACATGCTATCTTACTATTTAGAACTCGTATTTGAGAAAATAAAAAATACATACGCGTTGCAAATACTCAATGCTTCATCGAGATACCTCGAGGAGGAGACGCGTTATTTTGAATTCATTCGACATTACATCTACAGAAGAAAGTATAGTAGATATACGTATATACAAGACACTACACTCCATGAGAACATATTTAATACTAAAACCATTTTGGTGGTGTTTATTGTTTAGTTAGCAATAGATTATTAATATCTACTAAAGTTATCCCCTTTTGTTTCTTTTTTCTCTCTCTCGCTTTCTTAGTATTTAATCCTTTCATTCTACCTTTCGCTCTGTCTTTCTCTCATCCGTCTCACGTTCTCTCTATCATTCTCGTGCACGATTATATTTCTTTTTTTTTCTTTTAAATAGAACGACCAGCTACATCGAGAGATCGTTGCATCTCATTTTATGTCTCTTCTCTATCATGTTTTTTCATTTTTTTCAAATTTTTCTTTTGCACATCTCTCGTTTCTTTCGTTTGTCCAGAGAAATCCTGCATCCTCGTACAGTGGAATCGTGGATATCATTGGAAAATATACATATATTTATATATATATATAGTTTGTCGAGTAATGGGAAGGGGGAGGGAGGGATGGCAAAAAGCGTAAAACGGAAAACATACGAAAAAACGAAAGAAATGCTTTTTTCTGTACATTTGTCGTAACTGCTTAGAACCTTTGGTGTGCATTACCTTAAACCTGGACAATTTCGAAACGAACTTAGTCTTTCTTGTCGCCGTCCTCGGGATCTTTAAGCGTGTGCCATTGAGCAATAGGACGTCTCGGGGTTGCCAACATATCGGTCCAGTGTCTCAACTCTGTTCCACTCGCGTTGTGCCCCAAGACGACCTTCCCAATGGGTTCTGAGGTGCCGATACGATCGTAATCGACTACCGTGACAACCAATTGCACTTTCTAAACGTGAAACCACGTGTTAGTTGTCAGTCTTAGATCGTGTATTACCATGTCTTCCGGACCGTAAGAATCTAAAGATAATCTGTACAAGGCATTCCAAGAAGAGCAAAATCGTTGGCAATATATGTACAATATATGGTAGAAGAGCGTAAAGGGAATGAAAGCATTGAAAAGGAAATTTTTAATGATTAAGAAATTTATTTGTTAGCACTTTGATATTTGATTGAATGCTATTTACAATTCAAAAATTAATAATTTTACAGCGCTCTCAAGATAACACTTTCAAATATAATTCTATTGGTACTCTATTGTAAGGTGTGAAAACGAATTTAATATTGTAAGAATCAAAGCTTTTATAAAATGTGCGGCCATTAGAGTGTTAATTTCATCGCAAAAATCTTACGATATTGGAAAAGGGTCAACAGGAGCGACGACAGAGGTTCAAATCGATCTTGAGGGCCTCATGCGGAGAAACTAAGAAACTGCGGACGAACTTTGTCTCTCCTCCGTGAAGAGACAAGGACAGCGTAATACTCAACAGCTATATGTTGACATAAAAAGATCCAAATTTAGCAATTTCGTAGTTCAAAGATTTTGGGGCAAAGAAGCAATATTTTCTCATGATCCTTTTTCAAAAATATTCTTTGTTCATTTATCCAGCGTCGTACAGAACCCCATTTTGCAATTTACCTTTAAAACCTTACATACACAAAAATATGATTTGTAGAAAAAAACTGTTTTATTACACGTTCTGTATGTCGATTGGTATATTTTTCCTGAATATAAATATTGTAATCATTACGCGTTTCTCTCAAAACTATGTCCGAAAAACACGAATTACTTTTTCATCTTTCATTTCTACTCCGCCAGAGGTGCTACTGTCACTTCTGTTGACCGCTGTACCCTCAAGATCCACGTTATACTCAATTAATATCACTAATTAATTTTCATATTTTTAATATGAACATTATTTTTATTACTTTATTCAATCAAATAAGTGTATATATTCTCAGTCTGCAGTAAAAATATTAAGATGCTATTTTCTTTTGTCCCAATTGTATTTATATAAAGTAACAAATATGTAATATGAAACGTCTAAAATTTGATTACTAAAAAGAAATACGTAATAAAATATTAAAATACTTGAATACTTAAAATACATAAAATAATAATTAAATTATTAATTTTCTGACTAATTAGAAATATATTCTTATTTATTCTGAATTTTTAATGAAACAATCACTCGTTTTTTAATCAACTGAAAAATTCTGTTCGACAATAAAAGTAAACGAAAACAGTTGGATATATATGATTTAGGATGAGAAAGGAATATTTAAGATAATTCCAAAATTGGAATGTATAATAAAAGCGATAAGCAACATTTGCCTAACGAGCTTGAATATATTTGTAGCATTAAATAAGCACTTTCAAAAGATGTATCTGCTCTTCAGCTCTGAGAGCATGCAAAGCACTGAAAAATCATCCTCAAGCTAGCATGATCTGAATATAATTTAAATAGTAAATAATAGGTTGCAGTAAAGTATCTTACGGTCTGGAAGCATGGTATTTTTAAAAAAGGTTTACAAATATTATTTTAAAAAAGTTAGCAGATATTTAAAGTTTTCATAAAGTGACAGAAATCGAACAACATAGAATAACAGACACCACTGTATTTATTAATTAACTTAACTTTTTAATTTATACTATCGGTATTATATCGACGTATAAAAATCGAAAAAATATTTTGTTGTTTAAACAACATTTACATTGAATTTTCTATTTTATGTATTTTAACAGAATATTCAATATGTTTCAATATGTTCTGTCAGTTTACGAAAGTTTCTTTAACTACAGTAAACTCTCGTTAGATTGCCGCGGACGGGGTTGTAGGGGTGGAAAATTTTGCAAGTTCCTAAATTTTTAATTGGAGGAAAAGAAGGAGATGAAAATATATCATTTTCAATGATGGTGGAAGAGTGACATAAGTATGGTTGAAAATTTGTATGAAAGTCAGATCACTAACGTAGCAATATAACGAGACTCCACTGCATCACATTACAAACGGATAATTGTTCCCAACTCTTGTTTGTTTTAATAATTTTAATGAAAAGGCAATTAAGACACCTCAAAATAATAATTGTGAATTTTAGTTTTTACTTATCCGTTTGTGATAGATTTTAAATAGTATTTACAAAATATCTTACATAATAAGGATACAAAAAAATTGATAAATAAACTTGTTGCAGTTGTTTTTGTCTAAAACAAAATTGAAAAAGAAATCGTGTGCTAACTAAATTAATAAGAATGTTAGAAAAAGTTGTGAACAACGTGTACCATTGTTGTTACCTGTGTTTGTTGACTGTGTCAAACGGAGATAACAAAACAAATGGGTGGTAAGAAGGAAAACGTGAATGATACGTACCTGTATCTGCTCGAAGGGTACCTCAAACGTGAATGATTCGTTGTAATAAGGATTAAGAGTGCACTTCTTAATGGACGTTTTCTTTTTCTTCAATCTCTTGCCATTTTGCATCAAAGCAATTTTCACATAGGGATCTGACAGACCACCGACATCCATTTTCTTCAAGTTCTTCGCTTCTAAGATGACCACCGTCAGTTTACCGGCTGTGGGTACGTATCGGAGCGAGAAGCATATATCTCCCAATTTGTTATCCTGTAATTAATAAGTTTTAATTAGGGTTAATTCGATTTCTATTACTTGAATTAATTAATTTTTAGATGGCGGATATTAGGTCATTCAAGACCCAGGCTTTAAATTTATTTTATATTAGGTAAGGACTGTGATACTTGTGGGATATTGTTATAATTGAGTAATAATTGATAAAGAAACTTTATGCAAGTATTTTATACAAAAAGAATAATTAATGTTTTGTTATACAATAAATTTTCGATTACTATATACATTGGTGTAATTAAAGTAGGGGCCAAGAGGTCTAGCTCCTCTAAAAATCTGGAGTGGTCCCTCCACAAAAATGTGGATCTTCACCATTCTACAGGGTGTCCCGTAACGCATTTTCACCCTCTCAGGTGGTGGTAGGTGGGGTGATTCTGAACAACTTTTTCCTTTGCGAAAAAATGGTTTGAAGCTTCCTTTTTGAATTATTAAGAAAAAACACCGACCAATCCGAGCGCGTATAGCGCGCGGGCTCAGGGACGGCAGCGTCGGCTACGACAGCGGGGCTTGACGTAGGTCGCGAACAAACGGCTCGGCGCCTCGTTAGCATAGCACAATAAAAAAATTGAAGTAGTTAAACATTTTTTGTTGTTGTTGAAAAGGAATACGGAATCTAATCTCTTGTCGCCTGTTATTATGTAAACAAGGAAATTTTAAACATTCTAAATAAAAAATAAAAATGCTCACCGAGCGAACCGCCTAGTTCGATGCGGTCACCCAGCCAGGCTCGTGCCTCGGGAAGCAACTCGGACACTTGTTTGTATGGCACAAACCCGTAGCCCAACTCCCAATAGCAGAATTCCCTCCAATATGGCGATACTGCTTGCCCCCCCCATCTTGTATAATCCGGTTTCCTTTTTTAACACTCCCTGTATGCCGTGCATACACGCCCGGGGAAATTGTTTTTTCATCTGAGTAGCACGCCCGATGATAGCACGCCCTATTCTGGGGTACGCTGCCCGAAATATTAAGTGGATATGGTCCTCGAAGACCCCACTTCCCAGCTTGCAACCTTCACAACGTGGGTGTTTAGTTGTAGGTTTACGCAAACCGGTCAAGAATTCGCTATACTCCAGGCCCCACGCTTGTAAGCCACAATCACAATCTAGGTCATAATTAGTTTTCCCCCGCAACTCTCCGATTGCCACGTCCCTCATCCTGTCGAAGAGAGCAGGGGACCACTGGCTCTCAGGTATTACCTGAAGAACCCCCCGCCAGTCCTCCTTCCTGATACGTCTTAATGCCTCGCGTCCGCAAGAGCATGTTGGACCTCCCGTCTTCCATGCTCCTCCAAGACCGCAGGCTTTGTCGCAGCACGCTGGGCAGACTCCAAGGTCTCCTCCTCCATTTTGTGCAGGACAGGGGGGTCCGTTCCCCTCACTGTACCTATCTTCTTCACCCCCACATTCTCCGTCCCATAAGGGCCCGCGTCCTCGCCGTTCCGCGTTATTCTGTCCTCTACTGGACGGGCGAGGTACGCTTCCTCCAGCTGCCTCTCGAGCTGTAGGATCCGTAATTCTTGGGGGCTGCTCCACGCCTGCAAGCCGGTGGCCTTCTCGTCAATATCACCTCTAAACAGCACAGTCCCGTCGGAGTATTGACTACTCGTGGCGACACCCGCTGTTCCCCTGGGAATGACCAACGTTTTCAACACTTCGTTGGTGTAGTCTTTTACCCTAACGGCTACCCCCCAACCCCAGGTGTCAAAGGGGGGGGGGGGGGGGCTGCTACCCGTGTGCTCCCAGCCCAGCTCGCGGGCGAGGTTGCCTCCATATGACTCGTCCACCGCCCATACTACGCCATCCATCCTATTTCCGTGTGGATGGGTTCTCTATGTTAAATCCCAGTTGTGGGCATCATACTGGTTCATATCGAGCCTCATTAGGACGTCCTCCAACTGAGCATCATCCTCACCGTGGCCGAATTGGGCATATGACATAGTCGTCCATGTCTGGCGTGAGGTGTCAAGTGTATATGCCTCGCCCCCCGACCTGCCACTGCCCTGGATACAAAAAGAGCTCCACTCGGTATTGATGATGCTTCGCCAGAACGAACTAGGTGTACGTATCCCCGTCAAGGTGCCGCCACCCCCCTGGGCGTGATAATTTACGGCCCACGAAAAAGTCACCCTCTCGGTTAGGAAGCATCCCGCGAACCAGCTCGTGGTGGTTCCAACTCCGTGTACCGGATCCCTGATGAGTCTGCTCCAGTACTTCTCTGTGTTTAAGGCTCCGGCCGGGAAGGCTATCCGGTCCTGCCGTGCGCCGGAACGTTTGAACACCTCAAAGGCTCGCCTGAGCAGCCTACCACGGGTAAGTCTATCCAGACCACCGCTCTTACACCGGGCCGCGATCTGCACATCGTTTTCAACATTAAATGTGTCGCAGTACGCGTAGCCGGTACCCAGTGCCAAGGACGCCATGTTATTCCAGGCCCCTATCCTAAGCACCGGGTATCTACGGGCCCTCTGCCGCCGTGTGACCCTCTGGTCCATACCCAGGACCGCCGACCACCCCCCGTATGCTCTATAGCTGAGGCCCGTCATCTCCGCCCCAGGATTGAGGCCCATCGCCACCAGTACCGGTCTCGGGGCACCGTAGTAGGCAGAATTCTCTCCACCTCCCATGTTAACCCCCTCGATCTTTTGGTGCCACCGTACTGTCAGAGCCACCGTGAGGGAGTTGATCTCCAGCCAATTGATACCTTTAGGAAAGTATCCGCTCGTATAGTCGGAGAAGGCCGACCGCAGGGATTTGGTCGTGGTGAGAAGACGCCTCACCACGATATCCAGATCTCCACCGATGTTATGTGCCGTGATGTTTCTGTTGCGGGGAAGTTCCCCCCGGTGGTCACAGCTTTGTACCTCATAGTTGGTTGCGCCGAACGACACTGAGGATGTTGTTTTCTTTGGCAATATAAATATGATTTTTGACACCCGGTCAGTGATGTCAATCAACCCCGCCATCCGGGCAAAGGTCTCCCGCCGGATGCGCTGTTTTCCGTGGCCCTCGACATCTCCTATTACCGCCATACTGTATATGTCGAAGACCTGCGCCAGTGGGTAAGCTAGGTGAGATATAACCCACGCGTCACGTCCTACGCAATCAGGCAAGCTATTATCTGCCAAGGGGATCACACGCACAGTGTCCTGGTAAATATTCCAAGTGTCGCCTACCCTTCCGCCGACCTGCAAGTCACCCCTATTACGAAGGGAAGCCTCTACGACATCCGCCGTGATGAATATGGCCCTGTAGTCCCAGTCCTCTACCTCCCGCGTGGACACGACGATTTTATCCGGCTCATCGGCTGCAGCCCAGGCATATCCCACCCCTGAAGGCTGGACAATCCTCCGTTCTCTCAGTTCGTCGTAGAGATCTATCTTGATAGCCAGGCTCCGGAAATCTGCGCTGCTGTTCCCTATATAGCTATCAAGACCTGCGGCCAGCAATGGGGTGTTACTCATATACCCGTACGTATAGATGGCGGCTTCAGTACGATGTAACCGCCCCTGCCGCAGCCTTGAGTCCACCCCCAGGCTGACCCACTTCAACTTGTCCCAGGCTTCCAAACCCCCAATCAACCTCGAGCCTCCTCCCGTATGCCCAGCACCCGCAGACACGGGGGACGGTGGCTGCCGTCTAGGTCCCTGACGACGCTTCTGGGCTGCGCCCCTGCTGGTTCGCTTGACCTACGGTCACGTTCGGACCCTGCTACCTCAACCGCTCCCTGCCGCACCATTTTTTGAGACGTGGCGATTGCCTCCAAGGCGTCTTGCCTCGCTATCACCTGTGAACATGACGGCCCGGCCTCTTGGTCGTGGATGTCTACCGCGACCTGTCCTCCCGCCTGGTTACTTGGGCCCGCCACTGGTTGCGGAAGTTCAGGAACCCGACCCTGGTTGTCGTCCTTGTCTGTGCCGTCGTCGCTGCTCCCGGTCTCTCCCAAGATACGCGGCCCTCCGTCCACTATGTACATGCCGTCCACCACCCGCACGCCAGGGCAAAAATATTGGTGTAGGGTCCCCGCGTTGGTAAGTGCCTTGCTAGACCGATCGGGCCCCCGCGCGTAGTATACTACTGGGTTCGATAGCAAGGTATCGTATGTAGTTACACCACTAGGACCTTCCTCATGCGTCATTTCGCACGCCTGGTCCCAGAATAGATCAAGCAGAATTTTAAATCTTCCCTCCCGGAAGGCCACCTCACTGCTTACACTATCTATATTGCCGTTCAGTGCGTGCATCTCACGGTTATGGGTTTCGGCTGCCGCATTAACCCACTGTGCGCCCATCTCTCCGTTGGTCAGCCTATCGACGGCATCCCACACCAACCTCTTGTGCTTCTGCTTCTTCTCAGCTACCTCTCTACACTAACTCGAAGAATACGCAGAACGGACAGACCCCCTCTCCCCTCAGCGACGCCACGGCCCGATTGGAAGCCAGCATGTAGCTGAACGCGTAAGCCGCCTCATCTTCCGCCTCTACACTGACGCTTAGTGCTGCCTCGAGCTCAGCCCTCTCCTTGCTCAGTTGGGCCACTACTGTAGGATTACCCCCTTTGACCTCCAGTGCAGTATTGATCTCCTCCACTCGTTCGGACACGGCCACATCTGGGTTGTTCAATGCCCATAAGTCTACAGCACTTCTGACGACTTGCGCTCCTACCACGGGCCTGTCTTCCAGGGACCCAATGACGTGCGACTTCCAGACGCTGACCGTGCCGTCTCCCACTCCTAGTTTTTTTAAGGCTTGGGCAACCGCGGCTGCCCATTGTCTATTACCTCCTCCGTTTCCCAAAACTCCCATAATACGGATGGGATCGTCTTTTATCTGTGCTGCTACTTGAGCAGCCCGTAGGCTCAACACCCTCTTGGATTTTCGCTGCCGCACCTTCGGCTTATCTTGAGCCTCCTCCTTTCGATTCTTATCTTTACTCCCGGAATAAACCACCTTACTCCGGGAAGCCTGGTTATCCTCCTCTTCCACTGATTCCAAGCGCGATGCTTTTCGCGTCGGTTTTCTCCTGTTTACCTCGGATGCTGCTGGCGCACCCGCCCCTGTCAATGCCGTCCAGATCGTTAGGCGATCATACTCTGTCCCTCGGCTAGAGGTCTCGTCGCGCGCAAACTTAAACGCTTTGCCTATATAACCGTTGACGTCCCCTCCGAAGAATTTTTTCCCCTTGCCCTCACATGGACGCACCGGCTTACCAGCTACCTCCACAGCTACTGGTAGCTTGTTTACCGTTGCTGGTTGCGTTAAAGGTACACGCGCGACAGGTGACGGCTCAGCGTCAGAACACCCCTCGTCCTCACTGCTTAATTCGAGCCCGTCCCACTCCATGTTGCGACGCATAGCGTCCAACCTCTCGAGCAAGGCGGGATCGATGATTGCCCCGCCGTTGGAGGGGACCTGCGCCACGCGCATGGTTCGCCCACAGGGACGCCCGGGGTGGGGCAACATCCCCTCCATTTGCTCACCCTCGCCTGGTGTACTAACAGACGTTAGTCGATAATCTATGATAACCTTCAACGTCAAAAAACCACCCGTAGACCCCTCGTACCTACTATATCACCGATTCTTGTCAATAGCAGGTCTACTAGAGTCCGTTCAACCCGCCCAAGGATAATAGCCTAAAGAAGCTTATACCGAAGTATGAAATGAGTTTAGAAAAAAGTTTCTGAAATCTATCTGCCGCTCAGTGGAAAAACCTATACTATTTTTCCAACCCTAACCCTAACCCTAACCTAAACCTAAACCTAACCCTAACCCTAACCCTAACCCTAAGATAAGGTAAAAAGATAAGGTTGATCTAGAAGGATCTGGCCACGGAGTGGGGAAGATCTTGCATCTTCTGGTAGGAGGACCATGAGGAACGGCATGGCACTTACCCCAGAACCGTCGAAGGGGATTAGTCTATGAATAAAATATTAACAAATAGGAGATATTTACGCGATGATTCCACTTGCAAAACTTTATGGAATTTGTTATTTATTAACCATCTAAATTCGAACAATATATATATTTTTGGTTTATGGTTATTAGCTAACCAAAACGCAAATACATCCCACGATATCCTACAAATACTGCTCGTTCCACTAAAAAATGTAAAAGAAAATAATTTTTAACTAAAAATACAACCGACTTTGTGATACGCTAAAACGTGTAATATAATTTATATTTCGTTTATACAACTACGCGATAATTATTAATAAAACCTCTTGCTACATTAACAAAATGCGCTAAACAGTATTAAATAATTTCTATTTCATTTTTACCATCACTCCACAGCTATTAATAAAACCTATTTAATCGTTAAATAGTATACTAAATACATTTCAATCTTTTCGGATGCGGCGCAAAATTAAAAAAAGCCGAATAAACGATACTGTCAATAACGATTTGATTGCGGTATGGCGAACTTGGTAATTAATAAGTCATAAGAGAAAATATGGAACGTTGTAGATATGGCTGATAACATTTGTATTTGTAACGTTTGTATCAGAAGTTAATAACATTTCTGATGTATAAAGGTCTAATCTAATTTCCCTTGTTCATATTTTTCATTAAGAATTTAATATTTTAATGCCGAGGATATATCTAAATTTTAATACTTCTTTTTGGAATTTATAAAGCTTTATTTTAATTTAATTTAATTACTTTAAAATATGTACTCAAATGAATTCATCTATTTGCCCTATTCACATCCTCAGATATTGTTTTTTAATATAACTCACCTGACAGATCTATTAATATCTTCTATTATTATTAATTCATCTATAATGATCTGCTTTCAAACGTTTACATTTGAATTATTTCAAAATAGATGTTCAAATCAATTTATCTAATTACTTAATTAATATCTTCAGACTATTAATCAGTTAATGTTAACTCATTTATAATGTTCTATTTTCAAGTGTTTATTAAGTTCTCTAGAAAGCTTGTAAGTACTTACCACTTTCAGAGGTAAAAACAAAGTTCAATATTTTAATTAGTTGGAACAGGCAGTGTTTAAAAGGAAAATAATTCAAAGAGTATGTAATTGAAATTAGAGTGAATGGGAATGATGAAACCTTAAAAAAACAGGAGAACAATATGTTGTCACAATTATGAAATAGTGAAGGATAAAGATATTAATTCTGTGGCTTAGTATAAGAATTATTGTCATATTGTTGCAAAAATAAGTTAAACCTGCTATTTAGTTAGTAAATAATAGTAAAATACAACAATTTCAAATTCTATCTAGAAATGATAAAATTTTAATGGCATTTGTATGTATTAATGTCAATATTTTTCATGAAATAAACTTATTTAATAAATTAATAAAAACACAAATAGGATAAGCTTTAATTTTCTCTTTTTTTATTAGAAAAGTAATTTAAACCAGTAGAAACTTCTATGTAATAAATTATTTAAACGTGAATTTTTTAACATATCTTTAAGTGCTTATATTTCAACTTTTTAAATACTGACATAATACCTCTTGCACCATGCCATAGAATTCTAATAACGGAAAGTTATTATTTCGCTCAAAGGTTATATATTCAAATAAATTTACCTGACCACCTTCACCCTCGACACTTTGCAGTTCCCTCCATTCTTCAATCGTTTGAGCCAAATCAACCTGGCAGAGTGGAACCTTCACTTCACCGATTTGGTCGTGTTTCGAGAACCTGTCGAAATCGAAGATCGCGAAAACGAGCGTCTTGTTCATGGCGTCTGCGTAAGGAACACCCTAGGAAACAAGCAGCCTCGTTCATTTTCCATTGAAGAAAAAGTGGGTCGTCTCGTTCGGTGGTTGTCCGAAAAGAATTGAAGAGAAAACGCAATTGACTAACCTTGAATGTGAAAGTTTCATTGAAAACCGGACTGAGAGTTTTCCTGTGCACTTTCGTTTCGAATTTTTTCTTCTTATCCGGTAACAGATACACCTTCACGTACGGGTCGGACGTACCACCCATGTCCAATGCTGGAAGGTCTTCAGCTTGTATCACCGTCACTGCCAAACTGTTCGTGTTGAAGTCGTATTCGAGCTGTAAATATTGAAATAATTATTCTTTAACACTTTCGTTGCCGCACTATTTAATGTATTGCACTATTAAAAATCTGGTCTGATGCCAAAATCTTTTTAGTTGAATACTACTATTAAGAGCCAACATTTCAATAATATAATCCTACTATTAAATTTCAAGTGTTGTATAGTAAAGAAAAAAAGAAATAAAAATATGGAACCAGTCGGTCACACAGCATCTATACCGTAGTTCACCAGAGTCCATAACTGCGACGCGCAGGTTGGAAGATGGTGGAGGTACGCAGCGACCTCTTTGCTAATCGCTTTCCACTTCGTTTGGAAGTATCGCCAATCAGGGCGAAGATGCGCACTGGAGAAGCGCGAAGAACGAAAACTGGTCTTTTCGCAGTTATGGACTCTGGTGAACTGCGGTATAGAACATCATACTCCACGTGATCAAGCGATCACACTGGCAACCAATCTGTTAAAAGATACTCGGTCTCGTCAATGGAAAAATTGTAAACAAAATTTTGTTCTGAAGCATTCTGTGTTTTTAAAATGAAGATTTTGTATACCTGCATTTTATAAACGTTTTCTTAAGCAATTATTATTTTGTATTTGAATAAATGTGTTATGAAATAATCTTGCAAATAGTTTTTAACATTTTTATAAATAATTTTGTGCCACTGACCATTGGCGTAACTAGGACTTTTCTCTAAGATGGGCCAGGTCTCTTAGTTTTATTAACAATGTCAAATGTTGTATATCTTGCATTTCGTAAGATTTTATGAGAGAATTTCAGAATTTGGAAATTTTAGAATTTTAGAATGTTAATACATATGTTGGAAGCTCTGAATTAAAAAATTAAAAACTTTTAGAATTTTAAAACCTTAAAATCTTAAAATTTCACAATAGTGAAGAGGCTAGCCCAAATGTTAGGTGGGACCAAGAACAGTTTAGCCTCTAGTTAGTTACGCTAATGGCACTGACAGCAGACATTGTGCATGTTGGACAAGTTGTATTTCCTCGTATTTTTCGTAATTTTTGTGATATTCCTTTTAAAAAAATATAGCCTGTAACCGGTAAGGTGGAGTCCGAGACTCCAACGATTTTCACTTAAAAAAAAAGTATAGCTAGTTTTTAAATAAAATAGCTATAACTCACAATCCTAATTTTGTACATATATATATTTTTTTGTTATTTATTCTCTGAACAATTCTGTTGGATTTTCTAGGACCCACATAAGTACTTACTACATGACTAAATGACTGTCATACCAGCTACTGGATAAATTACAAGAAGTCAATTGTAATTCACTGTAAGCATCAGAATACTTTTGTGACATCAAACGTCATTTGTTTGTTTCTTATGTTTAAACTTTCTTATAGAAACAAGCAATGTTAAAAGAAATTGTGTATCGTGATCAGATCAAGCTTCCCTAAGGAAAATAGCGATATAGGGGACGCAGAAATTCTCAAAATCCTAATTTGGACGATATGAACATTAAAAATGATTTACAAACAAAATAATATGTTTTTCAATTATTAAAAAAATCATTGCAATCAGAGGGGAAGTAGATTTTCTACAAGTTCATCATTAAATGTTATAAAAACTGTATACTTGAAAAGTATAAATAATAAAGTAAATAATGATTCAAATTTTCCCGCGTAAATGTTTATACGCAAGTGGTGGGAGGTCGCAGACCTATATATACAGGGTGTCCCAGAAAGAGTAAGAATCTCTTGGAGGGGTGTTGCTTTAGAACGTGCTGTTGCCGCGTTTGTTCATAACCATGATTCGAACATAATCAGTAGCCAACACTCTTGTGGTTTAGGCCGCGCTCAATAACTCAAAAATGAAGCCTTAACCAACATTTTGATAAAAGAAAAAGTTGTTCAGAATCACCTCAGCAATCATCCCTCCAAGGGGTTCTCACCCTTTCCGGGACACTGTGTATGGGGACCCCCTTCGCTACGTTGTTATTTTCGCCGAGAATGCCTACGGGGAAGCGCGGTATAATGTATCAGTTGTATAAAATAAATGTGCAGATTCTCTAGAATCTACATATTATAAACATAAAGAAATATTTAAAAAATAGTGTTAATAGACGTGTAAGAAATATTTGTACAATTCTTACGTGTCTGAAAATAATGAAGGTAATTATAGTGGTAGCAATTATTGGTTAACTCTATCTATATTAAAATTTTAATTCGTTGAAACAATTTTTATCCGGACAAAACACTTAAGAAGTGCAGTGTACAAAATTCTACAAACAAAACTCGTTAAAAAATTAAAAGATACACACCTTGTATTGAAGTCTACCGAGTTTCACCTCACTCTGCTTGCTTTCAGCTTCGTCCGGCTCCTCAGCATTGTCGGTCAATTCTTCCATATCCGGCTGAACCTTAACAAGTGGAAGTGGATTCCACGAGTGTAGAATGTGCGTCTAATATCTACATAATGACACGGACATCGAGTAACGTACCTTGTCTTTGTACGTGCTTCCTAACAGTTGCACCGATTTCAAATCTACTGCACCCTTCAACCCTTTCTTGCCGTCCTTGGATCGTCTTTTGCGACAGCATCTTCTTATGCAGCAGAAGCATATCCCGAGAACTACTACTCCTACAGCTACTCAAGCGATATCAAACATATGAATATTTGTAATAAAATTTTATATTTAATAAAACAGAAAAATTATTAGTGAAAGTAATTTAACTTTTCATGTCGGTAATTATGCAGTAACAAAATTTAAGACACTAGTGGTAATTAATTTACATGAATTCATTGAGTACAAAAGACGAATAAAAAACCGTTACAATTAATAATTTTATTAAATTTCTATTTAAACGCTATTAAATATCGAAATACTAGCTATTTAATAATTTCGTTTCATAGTAAGGGAATAATTAAATTAATAGTGTCTAATCTTTAATATTTAATATTTTCACCCTCGGACAGCGGACCATTTTTATTTAGCGTAGCAATCAGCGTGTGTCGAATTTCGAATCACAATTGAATACTTTTCAAAGTAGTATTTATTTTTATCTGTTATAGCAATTAAAGTACTACTATTCGAACAATGGGACATTAAATTTTTATTGCAATAATTATTTCTATATAGCATATTAATTAACGTCGCGATGTTTGAATATTAATGTTTCAAATTAAAAATCCACTTTTTTATCGTAATAGCAATGAGTCATAGTTTAGATGGTTTAAAAAAAATCAAAATTATTAGTTAATTTTACCTATTAAAATTGCGACTAGTCCCCATGTTGGTATTCCCATCTCTTCCGCAAGTTCCTTCCCCAAATTCTGTACTTCAGTTTCAAACGTTTCTGCGACAGATTCGGTCCCCACTTCCGCTTCCGTTCCTACATGTAAACATTAATTAGGGCACACTGTTTCACTTTGAGGTAAGAACAAAAAACAATAACGCTTACCTGTTTCTGGCTCCTCTGAACTGTAGTTGAACGTCGAGTCGTTATCATTTTCGGTTACGCCCTCTGGCAAGGGCTCTGCCTCTCTCTTTATGGCAGGCATTTTCTGTATTCAAAATGTAGAAGAAAACTTTAGTACTTGTGGGTAAAAATAAAATATACACTATTTGGTCATGAAATTGAGATCATATGTAAAAATTCCACATTTATAATCATAATACTGTGTCATAAATGGAGTTATCGTATTTAACTGTATAAAATGTTGCTAAATACTAGGATTTTTATATACTATTTAAATAATTATTCACATTAATTATGCATCCATTTGTCTACGATCTTGGGAGAATCGAGGAAAAGCTTAGAAAGAGCTTGAGAAGATCATAGGAAAAATCTAACCTACGACTTCCTATTCTCCTACGTGAAGTACACGAACAAATAGAGTTTAACACGTATTTCAGTACACCACATGCCTTCGTGGTGAAATACTTCTTTTCTTACACTTCTTTTTAGCTCTGGTGTAGCCAAACCGGGACAGTTGTAACCCAGACCTATGAAACATACATACGTAGTAGTATTTCAACCAATGACGTAACTAGGTAGGGGATAGGGTAAGCTCGGCTTCTTCCAAAAATATGGACTGGCCCTCTTTTCCCTTATTCTAAGATTTTAAAGTCTTAAGATTCTAAAATTCAAAAATTCAAAAATTCAGAGATTTTAATATTTCAAAAGGGTGAAGTTCCTTTTAACACCCCCTTTCAATCTTACTCTTCTAGACAACAACAACGAGATTTTAAATTCATCTAATCAATCACATCAGTTCACCGTAGTGATTTATGTGGACAGTTCACTTACGGTGTTTGTGGGTGCATTTTTTCGGTCGCCATTTCATTTGCTTTCTCAATCGCAACTCTACGAACCAATATCATCTCGCGTCTCTTGTTCGAAAGAGAGGAATTAGAGAGGAAAAACGAAAAGAAGAATTAGCAATAATTAGAATCGTTAGAGGTAGCAACGAGATATGGAAATATGGTAGAGAGAAAGGTCAGATCCAAAATATGCCCCGAAATCGGGGAACAATAGAAAGATGTGAAGAAGAGAACTGTCAGAGAACGAAAGAAAACGGAGAGGATGACATAACCAACGAGTAGATTGGCATAGAAATTAAGAAGCTTAAGAAAAAGAAAGTTCCCGGAACCGATGGGTTGACGAATCAGATGTAACAGTTGCTGGAAGGAGGAGGAGGTGAGGACAGTATACGGAAGATTTTAAAGGATGTATGGAGAGGGGAAGGATTCCCTGACGAATGAAGATTGGGATTGATTACACACTTGTACAAAAAAGGCGACACACAAGAGGTTAGAAATTACAGAGGAATTACGCTTCTTAACACGGCATATAAAATATCTTATAGCTATTCTACAGCACATAATGGAACGAGAACTAACGAACAACGCAGGAAAAATATTCGCTTTCTTCATAGACTCGAAGGCTGCATTTGATAAGGTCGATAGACAAGAGCTGTGAAACACCCTGAAAAACAGAGGGGTGAAGGGGAACCGCATCGACAGAATAAAAGAAGTTTGTGCAGAGACAAAAAACGTTATGAGAATAGGTGAAAGCATGACAGAACAATTTTGGACGACAAAAGGCGTACGAGAAGGGTGTCCGTTAAGCCCAAGCCTGTCTGTGGCGTTTATCTCGGGTCTAGAAGAAGAGCTGCGTAAGGGTTAAACGGAGGGAATAGTGATAGGAAAATTAAAGATCTGGACCCTTGCATCCGCAGATAACATTTTAATATTGGTCAGTACGGAAGAGGAATTAAGAGAAATGTTAAAGAGGGTTAAGAGATACTTATGAAGAAAGAAGTTAAACCTCAGTGTGGAAAAATCAAGGGCTATGGTCTTCAGAAAAGAAGGAGGCAGAGATAAGAGAAGAAAATGAGAGTGGAAAAGCTAGCCAATAGAGAAAGTAAAAGAGTTCAAATATTTAGGGTATTTGCTTAGGAGGATCAGAGATTTTAACAGTCATTTGAGGGAATTTGCAAGAAAGGGAAATATAGCAAGAAAGGGAATGTCAAGCAGGTGTGGGGGATGGGGAAAGGTAGTTCAAGGATGAGTATAAAGCGGGAATGTTTTTATTTGATGTTTTAGTAAAGGGAATCATCGATCATGGGGTGGAAATTTGGGAATGGAAAGAGAGAGCAACTACAGAAAGTATTCAGGTAAAATATATCAGATGGATTTTGGGCCTAGAGAGAAGCACACCTAGCTACTGTTCAGAGATTGAGTGTATATTAGGGAAAAGAATGCGGGTACGATCGGTCATAGTCGGTACGTCACACTTCACACACATGCATTCTAGATTATCGCGCGCTATGGGTTGATGTGATCACACACTAATCGCGTCGCCTGACAAAGAAGAAAAATGAGACTTCGCGACGAAGCGAGATGGTACGAAGTCAGCGTTGCGGCGAACTTTGAACACGAGGATCAAACGTGGGGTCAGGGCGGGCGGAGCGTGCAAAGTGCTCCCTTTGACCCTGTGCCGTCCCGCTAATGTTCTTTCCATCTCTCGACTGTACCTGGTCGTTTTTAAGAATTAAATGTTATAAGGAATGAGAGAGCTTAATTTATCGTTGTAAAACTAACCAATCCCTTTTCTAGGCCATCAAGCCGAAATAAGGTATTTACATATCTATTTATATTACTTGAGGTCGGTAGAATTCTTATGGTTAGACAATTCACAATTTTGAATGTCATTGAAAATAGCTAAAATCTACTTAAATCGCTTGTTTAGTTATTATCAGTCGCCACATTATACGGTTCAAAAACAAAAATTACAGATATGTACCTACATATTTAGCAAAATTATACACAACATAATTGGATTATAACAGATTCTGGCTTACAAACTTAATTTGGCACCATTATTTTTTAGTTGAGGATTTATTTTTAAAAAGTAATGGCAACTTTAATTATTACAATAGCATTTTAAATTTATAAAAGCGAAGACGGCTCCACTTTCCAGGAGGCCCCGTTATAAGCCTTCCATTTATTATGTCAACAAATGTTAAATGAAATTTTGTTTTTCCTATTGTCCTTTTTCTTTAATAAATAAAATTAAACTTATTAATTGATTTCTATTTAAAATAAATTTCAATTTTTTAACCAAGTGTATCAACCAAACCTTGAAGATTTGATAGCCCCGAATCTCAGAAATCTTAAATTCCTGATTAAATGTTTGAAAATTTACCGAATAAAATATGATATTTGATTTATTGGAAACAAAATTATTAATTGAAAGGATTTTTTTACAATTTTACAATGGCATTTAAATTGTTAATTTTGCTTTTGATAATAGATTGCAGTACATGAGATTACTTGTTATTACGGAAAATAAGTAAATAAGAAACTTTTAATTTTTATAAATTCGATATTTAAAAATGTATCTTTCTATTTGTAACACATCCTTACCACATTTTTCAATTTTATAACACATGGAGAACACTAATCAAAATATACACATATGTAGAAATGATAAAATCATGAAATATACAATCACAGAACTCAACATGAAAATTTGACAATGAATATTTTACACGTTCCATAAGGTTTGATTGAATCCGATCGAAGCACAGAAACTTATAATTACAGTGGCTTTATGCGCACTGCGAGATTTTGCAATCAGCAGACTCGTTTCCTCGTTTCGTAGATTAAGTTCGCATGCGTATCAAATGTTACAATGTCAACTTGCCTGATTTAAATCGCTTTGCAGTTCCGAATAAATAAATATATAAATCGATAATAGTAAGAATAATAGAGGAACTGCAGCATATTTGAAATACCAGTTTGTTTAAAATGAATAAAAAATTACACCAGAGGATTGGAACAAATAAGTCTGCATAATGTCATAGGAAAATTAATAAACTTTTAAATTTCGAACTCTTAATAATAATGAAAAACAAAAAATATCTGAAACTTTGTTGCAATTGAAAAATGACCCAAAGTACTGATCTTGTTACGGCGCAGGTAATCTGGAATAGCGATATTCCAAGTTAGCTTCGTTTTATAAAATTAAACAAACAAATCGATAATAAAATTATTTTCTCTTATGATCTAATCAAGCACAAAAATCATGGCATAGTTGTAGAAACATTTATCTTAGGTAAATATTAATTTTAAGTTTTAAATTTAGAGTAGTCAAATGTGTAACATCTGGAGTCGTAACCAGTATATTTACAGTGTACCCGCACCTCACACATAAAAGTAGAAGAAGTATATATGTAGCATCCTTCTCAATAGAATTAGCAACATGGCATTGAAACTTAAAATTTCATGTCACATTTGGTATTTTCAAAATGTTTACAATTAACACAAAATCACGGAATTAATATGCAAACGAGTTAATTAAATGATTTACTCTAAAATTTTGATGTATTTTAACCATAATTGCAACGATTGAAACGCTGCGCTGGCTAAAAAACTTTTGCTAATTGACATTTCTTTACTTTACAGATTTAGTCAGAACTGCCTTTACATTGCGTCCACTCTTATTTGCGATGTTACAAATTAATAGTTTGTAGTTTTAGATACCACATTAGTTTAGATATATAGTTAGTAGTTTTTTTATATATCTTGGTATTTTCAATTACCAACAGTATCTATCTCAAATTGTATGCCGCACTTCCTCTAATAAATAAGTACTTTAGAAATGATTTTTTCCCTACGTTTTAATACAAAATCAATTCCATTGATCGAACCCTCTTTCCCCATGAATACCCCAGCTTTTCACGACAAAATACAGGAACTTAATATATCTCGAAGGGAGAAGCTTTTCCCAGGGTAGAAGACAGGCTGGCGCCCAAAATAAAATGGCGGAATGCCAAGGGTGTTGTCGAAATGTCACCTTGAACCTATTTCCAAAAATGAAGCGTCAGAAACATGTTGTCATTGAAAAAATGTGAATGCTTAAATCAAATATTAGAATCTTGTTTAAATTTTCTGTGAATCTAGTAGGTCATTAACAATAACAAACTTATTTAAGTTTGTGAGTTAGGTTTACCTGAAAAATACTTTTTGCAATATTTAGAAATTTTTAATTAAGTGC